TCTGGCTTTCTCCGGGATTGAGCACGAGTGCTCTTCCTGGTATCTTTCTGGCCTGGATCAGCTCTGGAGTAGATTCGGCCTGATATCAGGGGGGGTTTCTTGGTCTGAGGTGGGCAAGGTGTTTTTTGAGCCTTCAGCCGCTGCTCTGCCTGGCGGGAAGTGTTGGTGGCTCCCGACACTTTAGGGCCATGCTTTGATTTGGCCCGAGGTGACTGAGTCCTTTCCTGAAAGGTGACACCAGGTCGTGGCTCGCTGTTGCCTGGGCAGGTGCTGAGGCTTCCCACAGGTGCAGGACAGCACTCTGCTTCAGCCAGGCAATGAGGGCAGGAGAGAAGGGCTTCCCTCAGGACTCCACATCCTTGCACATGGCTCTCGTGCCTGTGCCCACCCCAGCACCCTGTACCAGCTCAGCTCTGAGCCAGGCAGTCCTTTCCTTGCCACAGTGCCCGGCCCACAGCACGGCCCTCACCTTGTGTGCACTGAACACCTCCCCTGCAAGGAAAGGCCCAGCCCTCAGCACCACCCTGTGCCCATGAACACGTTGCTTTGCCCACCTTTTTCCTCAACATCTGCTCTGAATAATTCCTGTGCCTGGTCAGATATTGCCTGTACTCATTGAACTCCTTCAGAGTGCAAATCACCTGTGGAGAGACAAGGGCAGAACCCCCCAGGCACTGTCAAGCCACGCAGAACTGCCCTCCCCGAGCCAGCCCCAGCCCCGCGGGAGGGGAGCTGCTCCTCTGCTCCCCATTGCCCCCCTTGCCCCGGTGTCAGAGCCCCTGATTCCCCCAGCAGGGCTGAGCGATCTCCTCGCCCCGGCTCCAGCCTCGCCCCCACTGCCTCCTCATCCACGGGCAGCGCGGGGCAGCCTGGCGAGAGCAGGGCTGGGACTTCCCAGGGCATGTTGGCACCATTTCTGCTCCCAGGGAAACCAGCCCACAGCCCTGCCCCCTGCCCACAGCAGGAGGCTGCAGCAAGTGCTGGGAACCTGCTTGGAGAGGGCTGTTCTTGATCAGCCCAGCATCCAAACCTACGTTATTGTCACGGGTGATGAAGCCTTGTCTCCTCAGCAGCTTCAGGACGTCCTTGCGATGGTGGTAGTCCCGCAGGGTGGGGTCATGCAGGCAGTTGTACTGCATAGTGAGGTGGTGGTTGTAGGGGTCATCCAGGGTGAAATAAGGAAATGGCTGGTGAAGCTGGGAGAGAGATTTTCCAGAGTACAAAGGAGTCAGGAGAGAGTAGCAAAAAGGTGTCACATGGTACTTCTGGAAAGGTAAAGGTTGAAGACCAAGTATTCTCCATCTTTCTGAAGGCACAGAGACCCACAGCCAGACTGAGGGGCCAGGCTGGGCTGTGATGGGCTGGGGCAGAGAAGACAAAACCTGCCAGCAATCCCACCAGCAACCCACCAGCAAATGGGTATCTTTGGCTGCCAGGAAGAGCTGCAGACCCATCCACAAATGAGCCTTCAAAGGTCAAGCCCAGCATTCAAATGCAGCCAATGGAGAATGCAGGGAAGTCTCCTCAGCTTGGGCAGGCCCAAGGGCTGTGCTGACTCTGCCACTGGGACGTCTCTGCCCTGGGAATGAGCAGCACAGGCTGGAGGAGGAGGAGGAGGAGGAGGAGGAGGACAGTGTGTGCATTCCCCAGGAAGGGAAGGCAAAGCTGCTCCGAAGACACCACCAAGGCAAGCAGGAGAAGGCTGCAGTGCCCCTCAAAAGTGCCCCAGAGCCTGGCTCGACAGTGCTGGCTGAGCTGAAGGGGTGCATTGCCCCGGTACCCCAACACAAAGTCACCTGCTGCGGGTTTGGGCCCTGCCACTCACATGGACCGTGCCAGAAACTGCAGAGAACTGGCAAGTCCTTTTTCTCTGTGTTCCAGGGAGCTTGGAGCTTCCCTGCACTGCCCAGCCCTGTCCGACTGAAGGGCTGCAGCTCCTGCTGTAGAGCAGGGGGCCACAGGAACTCCTCCACCCGATGGGGACCCCATCAAAGAGGAGAGCTGATCTACCCCTTTCTCCTTGCTTTACCTTTTCCCCCAGCTTTGCCCTGCATAAGACAGGCTTGGATCCGGGCAACACAGGGATCTTGACTGCGAGTGGGAGGTCCAGCAGTTTAGGGTCCATTTCTCAGGTATCTCCTTCTCCTAAATGTGGTGTTCTGGGGCCAAGCAGGGAACACACAGACACCTGCACAGCGCTTGCAAGAGAGGACAGGTCCTGAGGCCCTAGAGCAGCCCCTGTGTCCCCGCTCCCCAGCTGACCCCTGTCTGGTGCCCACTCTCCCCCCTGCTATCTCCTGTGCTCTCAGCAGTGCCGCTGCCTTTCAGCAGGACACCAACAGGGAGATGGTGCTCCTCGGGTCCTTCCAGGAGTTTTCATGGTGTTGTGATCCTGCACCAGCTCCAGATGGGTCTTGCTCCAGAGGCACAGCAGCTGGTCTCAGTATACCCATGGGGCATTGTGACATCATAGTGATGTCACATCACTGCATTGTCACACCACTGTGATGACATCCTGTCACACAGAAAGTGCCCACCAAACCTGTGGGTGGGGACCCCCTGGAGGCCTTTGTGGGCCTCCCATTATGTGTGACCTGGCTGAGAGAGCTCATGTGCCCAGGCCCCTTCCCCCTCTCTGTTCTGTCAGTCTGGGAGGCGAAGCAAGTCCTCACCAAAGGAGGAACTGCCAGGCCAAAGATGCCTGGTTTGGGCTTTGCTTTTCCTTTTCTCCCCTTTTAGACCTTCTTCCCTGTCATGGCCAAGCAGCTGCAACTCAGGCAATTGCACCAAACTGGATATTTGGCCCATCCCTGTCAACATCCAATTCCTGATTCACATCTTGAGAAACAGAAGAGAAACACAGGCTGAGGGAAATCCCCGTCTTCCCCTTCACTCAGGCTCCCCCTCAGCCCGGACACCTCTCTGCCGCCTTCCCCGTCTCCCCTGCCCTCGTTTCTGCTGCTCTCACTTCCCACCCCTTTTTGGCTGGATCTGGGGAGGTCTCCAGTGCCTGTTCCTCCAGCCCCTCTGGTTCATCGGGGCAGCTTTCCCTCTGCAGAGCTCCTGTTCATTAAACAAAGGCCAGAGACGGGCACAGCCATCTGTTGGACGTGCAGTGATCACCACGGGTGTCGAGGGAAACAGCGAGGGGCACAGCCAGGGATGGTGTTCCTCTCCTTCCAAAGCAGTTTCTGGCACACACTCCAGCTGCAGCTCTTCTGTTCAACAAGTGGAGGAGCAGCACCAGCCACAAGGGCCACAAGCCACACATTGCACTCATCTGGCATAGCCTGTGATGTTTTGAGCATGGTGATGTCCCTGCAAGGAAATCCACTGAAGTTCACAGCACACAACTGCAGGAGCTCGGCAAGAGCAGGAGCAAGGAGGTCTCTGCCCAAAGTCTTGGCAGGGGCTGAGGAAAGCAGTGCTCCTGCAACCAGTTTGGGCCCCTTCCTGGGCTGCAAAACTTAGTTTGTCCACATTTACTGCTTTCCTTGGGAAACAGTGGACCCAAAGTGATCCAGCTGATCCGAGCAGGATCTACCTGTGACCCCGCTGGAACAGGCCAAGCCAGGCCAGGTGTCTGTGGCAGAGCACTGTTCCCGTTCCCTGGGAAGGGCTGCCAGGCAGAACCGGCAGGTATGGCTGATGTCTGAGTGCTCCCAGTCAGTTGTACCAGGGGTGCTTACACTGGGCAGACACTGCACAAGGAGAAATGTCACCAACTGGCTCAGACACATCCGTGAACTGCCAAAAGCCATGTGCTCTCAGTGGAAACAGCAGAACAAGTGAATCCAGTGGGAGCTAGGAAGACCCATTTCTGAGGAGAAATGAGTGGTTTCTGACACATCTCAGGGCAGGTGTGCTAAGAGATTTTTTAAGTGGTGACACTCCAGAGTGAAATACAGTGCTGTCGAAAAATGCATTACACAAACACTATGGTGATGTTTTGGTACAATAAAATAAACATCTATGTCCCTCCAAAAACGTTGGAGTTATTGTTTAGCTGCTTTTACTTTAATTTGTTCTCCAATTTTTTTTTTTCTCTTCTAGAAACCTGCACGTGAGATTTCCAGGTCAAAACATAAATCCACACCGATAGTTATGTTTCAATGCTTTTTTTTTTTTTTTTTTCCCTGCCGCGGTATTTTTAGCCGAGCCACTCTGCTCCCTCAGGTGCCCGCAGGGAGCTCGCAGGCTGTCAAACCGCTCACAGCCGCCGTGGGACGCCGGGCTGAGGGTGCTGTCACAGAACAGCCCGGTCTGGGCAGCGCCAGCAGCTCCTGCGGCTGCGGGAGGAGGGCGGGAGGGAAGAGCTCTCGGATGGGGCCCGGCCCCGCAGTGACTCTGCCCTCACGAACCTGACCAGGCTCTGCTGGCCTGTGGGCCCTGAGCAGGAGTTCATGAGTTATTCCAGGAAATCTCTGTGAACCGCTGAGATTTTATCCGCCCACGGGGACAAAGCGCTGCAATATTTGCCATTAGGAACCCCAGCCTGCAAAGAGTTTTGCTCTTCTGTGTCAGCGCGGGTTTGGCTTTAAACTAGCATAAAACTGGAAAAGAAAAAAAAAAAGAACAAAAAAAGAACAACAACAACAAAAAGAACAGCTCCGTTATCTACAGAAGGACCCGCAGTTCTCTGGCTGTACCACAGGGTGAACAGGGCTGAGGGGCAGCGACGGCCCCCTCGGGCGGGCACCGCTCAGCGACAGGGGGGGGACCCGGAGGCACCAAGCCCCGCCGGGGCGGCTGCGGCAGCCGGGGCCGGGTGTGCGGAGGGGCCTCACGGGTGTCCCCAGGGGCCGTGCCGCCCGTTCTCCCCGGTGTTTCGCCCGTTCTCCCCGCTGTTCCGCCCGGGCCGGCCCCGCTCCCGTTCCCGTTCCCGCTCCCGCCCCGCGGGTTCCCGCGCGCGCCGCCCTCACGCGGGCCCGGCCGCGCCCCCGAACCGCGCGCGCCCGCGGTCCGGAGTGGGCGTGTCCGGCCCGGCCCCGCCCCCCGGCGCCGCATCGCGGCGGCCATTTTGTGCGGCTGCGGTGGGTGCGCGGGCTCGGGCGCCGCGGGCCCGGGCGGGGCGGCTCCGTTCTAACCCTTTTTCCCGTACAGAGCCCTCGGTAAGAGCGCGGCGGCGGCTGGGCGGGCCGGGCCGCCTGCTTTGTCCTGTCCCGCCCTGCCCTGCGCTGCGGGCCCGCGGTGCGGCGGGGAGGCGCGGGGAGGGAGGCCGGGCGGGCGCGTCCCCGCGCACAAAGGGCCGGACCGGGCCGGGCGGCGCCTCCTCCCGCCCGCGGGCCCGGGGCACCGAGCGGGGCCGCTCCCGCCTGGCCACGGCCCGGCTGAGGCCCCGCGGCCCGGGCCGGCCCCCGCCCACCGCCCCTGGCCGTGCCCGCCGCGGCCGGCGGAGCTGCGCGGGCAGGTGAGTCCGTGCGGGCCGAGCGCGGGCCCGGGCGGCGGGGCCGGCCGAGTGACCTTGCGGCGGGGCCGGGGCCGGTGGGGCCGTGCCGGGGCCCGAGGCGGGGCCGGTCCCGGGGGACGGGAGCCCGCGTGGAGCAGGTACCGGCCCCGCCGGGGATCGCCACGGCCGGGGGAGGCTTCCGCAGGCGGCACCGCCGGCTGGAGGCTTCACGCCCTTCTGTATGCCGCGAAGCGTGGAGCACTTCTCCATCCCGCTGCGTTTTGTCCCTTTAAAATGTTCTAAATGAACAGAAATAATTGTGGCTCTTGATGCGCTGACCCGAGAGCTGCCTCATGGCGTGCAGTTGGGAGGCATCGTGAGGTTCTTCCTGGCAGGCCTGGCTTTAGATTGGGCTTATTGCTGCCCAGGTGGGGTTTTGTGCCAGTGGGCTTGGTGTGGATGCTCAGTCTGTAGCCGTACCAGGGCCTCTTGGTTAATCGAAATAGGTTGTCAGTACACTTTTGGAAAACAGTTGTATGTCCTTTACTTACTGAAAATCTTTTGGGTACCGGTGATGTTTCTGTGATCCTAGGCTATTGTTTGTAGCCTAAATGCTTGAAAATAGATCAGGAGGGATAAAAGAAATGCCATCTTTCTAAGTACAGAATTTGGTGTTGTATGCAGTAGGAGAATTAAACTAAACCAAGTGTTAAAAACAATGACAGTGACTTGAATTAACTTTTTGGAAGTATCTGTACAGCAGGTTATAAATGAGCATCTCTGTAACAGAGATGCTTTTGAACCTGGGTTCATTTAAATTTCTGTTTCCAGAAAGAAATTTCCAAATTTCCAAAAGAAAGCCAAGTGAGAAGATTTCAGCAGAGATCAGTCGTGATATAGTTCTCTCTTTAATTTTGGTGTGACTTTTAATAGTTTTGTGATGGAAGGTGGCTTCGGTGAATGCACTTTGTTTGACCTGAGTCAGCCCGTGGAAGAGTTCAGTTTACATTCCTGCAGATAACTTGGTGGATGTCTCCTCTATGGAAATAAAATCTTACTTGAGCAGGCTGAGAGTAAAATCTGTGTGTCTGTAATCCAGGAGAATTAATTAAGGTCAAGTTGGGAATGTGGCTAGAGTGATAATTGCTTATAACAGTGCTGCCTTGACTGAAATGTAAGAAGCCTGTAATTAATTCTTAGCTTTAATTGGCTAAGTACTCTGCAGCACTTTCTTTTGCTCTTGTAGTTCCTGGGTGACCTAAGCAATGATATTCACCTAAATTCCCTCCCTTGGCCAGGAAAGGAGAGTGTCACCCCTAACTTAATTGTAGGTGGTGATAAATTCTCTGTAACTGCCCGTTTTATTTACAGCTGCCTCTGTGGAAGCAGGTATTGTGTGTAGCTGTAACTTGTCAGGTTTGGCAGGAGCTGACACTGGCTGTCCCAGCAATTGTCCCCTGTGTCCTGCCTGGGTGGCACTGTCCTGCACACTGTGAGCTCTTGCCTTGGGAACTGAGCTGAGGAATGCACATGAGGCAGAGGGAGGATTTGTTGTTTAGCCTTACCTGTGGTTGTTATCAGTGCTTATGCTGCAGTCTTGATGGTTGTCTGCTTGTTTGGACCTACTGGTGTATCATATTAAGGAATCTCGTGAAGTGCTTATGAGAGTTTATTGAACTGCTGAGCAAGTACCCTCCTTTCTTTTTTTTGCTTCAATTTGTTCCTTCACAGTTCTGTTCTTTGCTTGCCCACAGGTTTGCTTTGACTCCTTGTGCTTCCTCTGCGGGAAAATACCTTTTTTTCAGGTAAGAAATGGTTTGTCTTTGCTGTCAAAATGCCAGCAGCTACATGGGCTGTGTATTTCTGAAAACACCTTTTTGGAGCCAGTGGCTCTTGAGGTTTTTTGGGAGTGCAGGCACCAGGCTAAGTGCCCGTGTGGGTGTGTACTGTGTCCATGCTGAGTGCAGGTAATAATGCTTACTGGAGTATAAACACTCCTTTGTGAGGCTTGTTAGTTTGTTGACGTGCCTTGGTGTTTTACAGGGCTTGAGCATCCTTGGGCCAGCCTGGGAGTCAGTGGTGCAAAGACAGTGCTGTTGGCTGGGTCTGAGTTAGGATTTTAGTTAGGCTTGAAAGCACATGTGTTCATAACAGAGGCTGTGAGTACCCCAGGCTGAATGGCTCCCTCCCTGCCCTGTAGTTTGCTAATGGCTTTTTGATTCCATGATCCCTTGTATCAATCCAGAGCCTGTGCTGCAGCTGTCTTCTCTGTATCACTGTTACCAGTCTTATACCAAAATGCACTGATTTTTTGTTTGTTTTTCATCAAAGCTCATGGCAGTCTAACTTGGAACATTTCCTTTTATTTGACTGTTGTGAAAATATCCTTTATCGACAAGTAGGGTAGGTTTAGTCCTGTCCAGGCAGGAATAAAACTGAGAATGCCATGTCTAGGTGTCAGAGCACTGTGTATTGACTGGGTGGGTTTTCAGTGGCCAATATTGCGGGTGGTGTAAATTATCTGTGAAAAATGTTTCTCAGACTTTTTTTTTATGCATGCTCTTACAGGTAGACTTCTTCCAAGAGTCATAAGTCCAAGTCCAGTTACTGCTACAGGTATTGTAACCAGATAATTTTTGTGCTTTCTGACTTGCTCCCTCCATTTTCAGTCATAACATTTTCATCTGATAGCTAAAATTCATGTTGATGCTTACTGATAAGAAAAATCATAGGTTCAGCATCCTGCTGTAAGTGTATCCTGTGCTGCTGGAACACCCAGAGCAACCTCAGAGCCTGGGGAGGACATCAAAGCTGAAGAACTAATTGGTCAGCTTAGTGACCAGGCATAGCCTGAAGTATTAAGTTTCTATCTGAAATGTGGGTTTCTGTGCAATACCGAGGTATTGTTTGCAGGAGGGATGTCGTGGTAGTGCTTCAGAGCCACTTCATTCTTTAATGTGTGTGCAGACTGAAATGTGGGTATTGAGTGCAAAATGGTGTTGGACCCAGTGCTCTGGCATTGTGGTCAAGCAGACTGTGTGTAAGCAAGTGGAAGTTGTGTTCCTGGACTCTGCCTGTTTGTTAAAGCTGCCTGTGTTTAAGAAGGTACCTGTTGTCTTGGTAAAATAGCGACATGGAGCCCGCACACGGTTCTTGTCCTGATTGGTCATGCAAGGCTGCAGTGACAGCTCCTGGTCTGGGGTTCAGGAGGTTCAACCTCAGGCTGCTACAGCACACCCTAGACCAAATATTTCAATGTAGTCCCACTGTAAGTCAGTTTGTCCAAGGAGTTTTGTGGGATTGCTGTTGGTTTTGCTTCTGAGGGAGTGTAGAGTGGCAATTAGAAGCAGTCCGCTTTCTTTCCTTTTCCACATTTAATTTTTATTTGTCAAAGGCACTTTGAGACCACAGGTACCCATTAGGCAGGGCAATAATGTCTTTTTTGGGGATGGTTAGATTCGGTTCATTCAACATCCTGAAGTGGTTTGTGCTGGTTCTGGCCAGGACAGGGTTAGTTTTTGCAGGGGCTGGGCCTGCTGGTCTCTGTTGTTGGGCTCTGCCTGTAGTGGTGAATGATGTGAATCCATGGCTCACCTCTCCTGTACACTTCTGTGATGAATATTGCTGCTGTTACCTTGGGTGCTACCTTTGGGAGTCCATTAATAATGACACCCAGTCTGGGGAGGCAAGAGGGAAGGATGATCTTCCCCAGCTTTTCAATCCCTTTTTCTGCTTCAGGCATGTTGTGAATTTTGAGTTCCCTTTGGATATTAAGGAAAACCTGTTCTTGTTGCTAAGTCTGTCAGGTCTCCTCAGTGTGGTCCACACCACGTTTAGAATTAAGGAAGATATTTCTAGGGAGGTCTTTCAGAGATTTGCCTTGAGGGCGGATAGTCATGAGTGGCATGGAATGTGGGAGGGCATGGGCCGGTATTTGGAGGACTTCTTTCTTCTGGTGGTTTGGAAGTTCACCCCTGAACAACTACAGGACCCTGATGAAGTGATAAAATATGTGAAAGAAAAATGCTGTGGCAGTTGCTGAGAGGTGCAAAGTTTATGCAACCTGCTAGGTGGCGGAATGCCAGGGAAAAAGGTGTCCAGTGCCTGAGAGAATTGGCTGTGTTGGAGATAATCCATAGGGGATTCCTTTTGATTGGAATCCCTGTACATCCAGTGGAGGTCGAGTGCACACAATCCATGTGGCACAAGTTTGTACAGAGCGTGCTGTTGTCATACACCAGCTCAATGGCATTGATGTCAATGGAAGGAGGACAAACAGGGCAACAGAGTCCTCCTGCCACCCTGCACCTCAGCTGTGGAAAGAGTGTCCAAGGCTGTGACAGACTCGAAAGGCTCGAGCAAACAGGAAATGTCCCCTGCCCGTATGACCGCAGTCTCTGCCATTGGGAGAGGTGCCACCCAGCTCGAGAGAGGGGTCACTGTGAGGTAACCTGTGGGTTTGCCTGCATGACCATGGAGAGGATGTGATGCAGTGGGATGGAAAACCCGCCTCTGCCCCAGCAGCACAGGTACTGTGTGAGTTGAGAGGGAGAACAGCCACCACAGGAAATCCTTCAGGGGTAAATGCTGCTCTAGTTTCCTGACAGAACAGGAGGGCTGATGTTACTTCCCATCCTCTTGAAGAGACCTGCAGTTCCTATTTACAAGTGAGCAATGAGTACTGTGACCAGAAGTAGAGGGGCCCTGCCTCTAGCCAGCTGGACAACTTGATCTGCTGGACTGTGTGGATCTATGGCCTGGCACATCAGACCCACAGGAGTGTAAGGCTTTAGTTGGCACTGGTGCACAGTGTGCCCCAGTGCTGTCAAGATATGTAGGGGCAGAATCCATCTCTATTTCTAGGGTCACAGGGGGATCCCTACAGCTGACTGTACTGGAAGTTGAAATGAGTCTGACTGGGAATGTATGGTAAAAACACCCCCTCGTGACTGCCCCAGAGTCTGTTCTTGGCATACCTCAGGAGAGGGTATCTCAAGGACCCCAAAGGGCATTGCTGAGCTTTCTCTGGAGACAGTTAGGCAGTTGTACACCTTGCGTGGTCTCTGAGAGGACCCCTGTGCTATGGGATTGCTGAGGGTTGAAGAACAGCAGTTACTGGTTGCTGCTACAGCAGTGCAGTGTCAGCAGCACCACACGAGCTGGGACTCCCTGACCCCCAGCCAGGACATGATGCGTGGACTGGAGAGCCAGGGAGTGCTCAGCAAGACTCACTCCCCCTTTAACAGTCCTGTATGACCAGTGTGTAAGTCCAGTGGGGAGGGGAGGCTGACAGTGACTATCGTGGTCTGAATGAAGTGACACCATCACTGATGCTGCTGTGCCAGACATTCTGGAACCTCAGTATGAACTGGAGACCAAGGCAGCCAAGTGGTGCCTCTGTGGACGTTGCTGATGGGTTCTTCTCCATCCCTTGGGCAGCAGAGTTCAGGCCACAGTCTGCTTTTACTTGGGAGGGGTGTGCAGAACACCTGGAACCGACTGCCCTGGGGCTGGAAACACAGCCCCCCTGTTTGCCATGGGCTGACCCAGGGGCACTGAAAAGGGTGAGGCTGCAGAAACTTACAGTGCATTGATGACATCATCGTGGGGCAGCACAGCAGAGGCAGTTCTTGAGAAAGGGGAGAAGATAATCCTTCTGAAGGCCAGTTTTGCTTTAAAGTCAAGGAACCTGCCCAGGAAATTCAGTTTTTAGAAGTAAAATGGCAAGATGGACTTCGTCAGATTCCAATGGACGTGGTCATCAAAATAGCAGCTGTGTCCCTACCAACCAGCAAGGAGGAAACACAGGCTTTTTTGGAGGATGCATATTCCAGATAAGTCAGATTGTCAGCCCTCTCTATCTAGTGACCTGGAAGAAGAAGGATTTTAGGTGGGGTCCTGAACAACAGCAGGCTTTTGAACAAATTAAACAGGAGGTTGCTCGTGCAATAGCCCTTGGGTCACTCAGGACAGGACAAGAAATGAAAATGTGCTCTGCTCTGCAGCTGCAAAGGATGGTCCTTCCTGGAGTCTCTGGCAAAATGTACCTGGCAAAACATACCCTAACTGAAAAAGAGATCCTGGCAGCTTCTGAAGGGGATTTTGCTGCTTCCCAAGTGATCGGCACAGAAGCACAGCTCCTTCTTGCACCCTGAGGGCCAGTGCTGAACTGCATGTTCAAAGGGAAATTCCCGTGGTTGCTGAATGGCACTGCCAGTGTGTGCCATAACTCCCATGGGCAGTGGGGATGGACTGCCCCAGATACATCAGTCGTGAGCTCCTTCTGCAGCTTGACCCAACCAACAGCACCCCAGCCCTCCTGCCCTGGCAGATATCTGGGAGGTGTAGACCTCACCATCGTGGGCTAAACAGACAGCTTGGAGGGACTGCCACTGACTGTGGAAATGATACCCGTGCTTGTGTGTGTGTGTGTATTTTTGCGTGATGTAGATGGTATAGAATAAAGGATGGATTGTGTCCTGGTTCTGGACAGGACAGGGCTAATTTTGGCAGTAGCCAGGAAGGGGGCATGGCCAGGACCTGGAGGTGTATCTGCACCACCTCACTGTTACTGTCTGGGGGGTGGCTGGGCAGGGAACATTCACGTGTGAATTGCTCACCTCTGCTGTACACTTCTGTTATGAATATTGTTGCTGTCACTGTTTGTTTTCTTACCTCGTGGCTGTTTTCAGTAAATTGTTCTTATCTCAACCTGTGATCTTTACCTTTTGTGCCTCTGACTCTGCAACCACTGCAGGGGATGGGGAGCAGGAGGGGCAATGAGTGGGTGCCACATGGCTTGGTTTCAGTGGGAACACTGACTTGGACAATACCATTCCTAAACCATGGCAGGTTCTACACAGCTTCAGTTAGGTAGAAACCAGGAGAAATGCCACTGGAGTGCCCAATCTGCAGCCTAAACTGGGCTTCTGGGAACAATGCAGGTGGCTGTTTGTGTCACTCCTGCAGTGCAGGGAAGCCTTTGTGTATTGGCAGGAATTGGATTTATGGTTGAAGAAACTGTTCTGGGGAAACCCTTTTGGTTCCTTTCTTGTATGAGCAAAACATAGCTCCTTCTGCCACATGGTGAGTGTAGCTCATCCACTGAGCTTGTCTTCCTTACCAGGAGGGGACTGCTTAGTTAGTGGGTGGTTAATTAATGCTGCAGTACCTGGTGCACCGGAGGAGCAGTAATGATAAAGTTACTGGTGGCTTTTATTGACAAAGGGTAAATAAGTGATGGAGAAATCTGATGTGGGTATGCAGGGAGAATATCTGTGTGTCTGTAAGGGTCTCTTAAGTTTCTCTCTGATCTGGATCACAGCAGCCTCCAGACCTGTAATGAAGTAATTCCACATGAAATTCATGTTCTAGAGGTGTTATTCTGTTATTGGGATATTGTTGACTGTAGAGAAAATATTTTTCTGAACTATGAACTACTTTTAGTCTGAGAAATCACATGACTTATTTTTCCTTCCCTGTAGTTGTTCATCAGTGTTTGGAATGTTTGTGGCCACATGAACAAGTTTCTTCTAGGTGAGTATAAGCATAGATCCTTGGTTTTGTTAATTGTAGCTTTTCTTTAAACCTTTGAAGTTTTGCTTTAAAATTGAGGTCTTTTGTAATTCTTGCAGAGGTGCTGTGGGTAATATTTATCTACATTAAATTCTTACGTTCTTAAAAGACTGCACATTTTCAGTTGGAGGAAAAATGGGTGTTTCCTTAAAGTAGGTTTCCATTAGTGTTGCTTTATTTAAGAAAACACTGCTTTATTTCATGTGACTCAAACCTTTTTCCAGAATGTTTTTGCTTGTTTGGTGTTCAGGAATGTTTGTCTTTTACCTTTAGTGTGTTACAGAAAAAAAAGGGGGAAACCAGAACAGCTAAATAGGACATGATCAAATGACTGAAAAGAATTGTTTTCAGTAATGAGTATTTATTTCTTTAATTGCACTTGGTAATTCAAATCGATTTTATTATAGAAAATATTTTTTTCTCTTCTGCTAAATTGCTCATATTCATAATTTCTGCTTCTATTTTGGTCTGTTGCAGTTCCACCACCAGTTTGAACTGAGAGCACAGTTACATGAAATGACATTCTCCATGTCCCGTAATCTTAGGGAGAGTGTGAGATCTTATTTTGGGGAGGGCCACTCCTGTAACACGTTTTCAGTTTTGTCACTGAGTACTCTGAGAAAGTCTTGGTTTCTGCCTGAGGAGGAGAGCAAATGTAGATTTTTACTAGTGTCAGTTCTGTTAATCTGCATGTATAAAGCAGAGGAAAAGCAGGAGTCTGAAATCCTCTCTGTGTCACACTTTGAGGGAATGTTTCAGTGCTGAGGAATCAGCTGTACAGTGTTCTTATTGTGGAAATATTAAGGGTCAGTTCAGGAGCCAGTTTGAGTGCTGAGTGGCTCAGAGTTTGCCTGCACAGTTGTAAATTGAATCTGAGAAGCTTTTAAAGCAAGAAGTGAGTGCTGGTGAAGATCTAGCTGAGGATCTTATGCTGTGCAAATAAGAACTGCAAATACTGCAGTGTCTTGTTTGAAATGGGTCTTGTGAATAAGAAAAGGGAGGTGATGCAGAATTCCTTGGAACTTGCCCAGAGATCTGAGGTGTTGTGGTTTGAAATAGTGTGAAGGATATCATCTGACACTTACAGTCCTGTCCTAAAACAGAGTCACCTGGCTGTGGAATGGACCCAAACAGAAGAGGCAGGAGTGTAGACATCCTTGGATGGATAGCCAGCACAGCAGCTGTTCTTGGGTGAACACTTTTAACAGCTTTGACATCTGGTTTTATGTGTAGGGTAAACTACAGTGAGGCTTTACTGCATGGGAGCAGTGCTGCAGCAGTCAAAACCTGGTAGGCAGAGGTTCTTCTGTCTGCAGGCAGTAAAAGTCTGTTGCAGTCAGCTTCCCAAGTCAGTACCAGTACAGTCTGTGGTGTTTTAAGTGTTTGTAAGACTTGCACTTAGTCTTCCTAAGGTGCCATGAGGATTGTATAATATAAATGGTGTCTGTAGATGCTGCTTTGCAGTCTGACACCGTGGCTTTTCTCCTGCAGGTGTGGGCTCAGCACAGCCAGGCTGTGGTCACCCACCTGCAGGCTCTTCGGGTTGCAGTGGGGACCATGCACTGCTCTGCACTCCATTCCCCACGGGGGTGGGCATATTGTAGGGCTGGCCTTTGTTTTACCCCCAGGGGAGGTGTGAGGCTGGTGTCATGTGTGCAGGTGATATAAGGTAAAGGTCAAAACTAACTATTGCAGAGCAAAGAAAGCCCTAATGTGCAAAATGTGAATGGCCTTAGTCTTTGGCAGTTTCATCCTGGACATGTGGGTGTGCCAGCAGATTTGGAACACTGGGGAGGATGGCAGAGTCAGCTTAGGCATTGTGGGAATCAGCTGTAAATGTGTTTTGTCCTAGAAGGAAGCAAAACAAGCTTGTGTTGCTTGTGTAGGAAGGGCAGTGCTCCCTGCAGCACCCAGGGCAGTTCAGTGTGCTGCATCTCCAGGGAACACAGGACAATCTCTGGCGAGTTGCTTTTGCTCCCTGGTTTTGCCACTGCTTTTTATTTTATTCCCATCCTACCAGGTAGTCCTGTGAATCACCACTGAGGTACTGAGTGCCTCATAGGAACTGGAGCTTGCAATCCAGAATAAAACTGACATTTGCAATGCAAAGGAGTAATATATTTGTGCAAACTGTTGAAGTTTACTGTTCTCCTTTATCAAGTCAGAGAACTATGTTTGTTTTTTCATGGAGTTCCTCTTTTTTCCTCTCTATTGTGTCCTTATGTGAGAGGGAGGGAAATGCCTGGGAGTGGCATGGATGCACAAAAGAATGAAGGAGAGAAGAGGCTGAACTGTGGGAGGGACCTGCATTTCTTCTGAGCTGCTTATGAAGCCTTGCACTGAGACAATACGAAATGTGAAAGTGGGGCTGATTTCAAGGCAGGGCTCTTGGTGTGATACTACGTAAGGAATGTTTTGATCACTCGGCAGGCATTTGGAAAACAGTCTTTGCCAAGGTAGGTGTGGTTTGGGAAAGGCTGCAGTGATTCTGCAGTTTCCAGGGAGAAAACAGTAGAGGCTGTTTTTAGTGAGAGTTTGCCATAACTGCCTGGGTTGGCTCTGTCTGATAACATGAAACATTTCTTCCGTTTCCAGAGGAACCCTCTTCTGTTGGAATTGGGTGATTCGTCAGGTTTGGGGCTTGGCACTGACAGCCTAAAACTGGAGAGAGTAAGAAGAGCTACAGGTGAACAGGCCCTGCACTGTTAGCAGAGCAGAGAGCTTGTTTTGGAAGTCAAAGATTGTGACCCCTGAAGGGATCGATATTGATGTGAGGGTTTTCTCTTCTACAGTGCCCTGAGATAAACATACCTGCTGATTGGCACCTCTGAGTGTCTGAATGGCTGAATAGCCTTTGAAAGTTAAATTCCCTCATGGTGACTTTGCTGGGGAAGAAAAGGCTTCCCCTTTTAAACAACATGTGCACTTCCAGTGGTGTAGATTTAGAAACATTTGTGTCGAAAGTAGTGACTTGTCTGAATCCTCAGGTGTTTTTTCCTGAAACAGATCTAATCTTTATAGTGAAATAAATTTTGGAGAAAAGCCATACAGCTCTCAGGGTGGGCTGAGTGACTACCCCTGTTTTAATCACGGTCCTGGACACGTGAGAAAAATGTGTTCTCAGAGTAACCAGAGTGGAGAGCCTGCTTGTGTCCCATTTTAGCTACCAAGGCAGCACAAACTGATTTTCTGATGGAGATAATTTTTAGAAGAGATGTTCTGGTGAGGTGTTCTTATTTCCAAGCTGTAGCTCTGACTGTGTCTGATCAGTCTGGGGTTGTTGGTTAAGCTGTTTTAACACGGTTCCATGTTTTTAAGTGCAGGAGAGGACAGAGGTTGAACCATAGAATCTCCAGGTCGAGGCAGGTGCCCGTGCTGGGTGTTGCTCTCTGAGGACTGCAGTTCTGCACATGGCTTTGCTCATGCTGCTCAAGTGCTGCTTGGTGCTGCCTGGTTTGTGCAGAGCCATGTGATGGCTCCCAGGGCAGGTCAGATCTCGTGGTTTCAGTCTTGCTCTAAGGCCCTGTGTTTCAGGGTGAAATGGTTCTGATCCTCTAATGTGTAATTCATCTCGTGTGATGTTCGACCAAGCGTGCCTCTGGTTGAGGAAGCTGTTCCTGGCATTGGGTGCCAGTGGAAAAGCCAGCCTGCTTTCATGGCATGATCAGCACGAGGACTGCTGGCTCGGAGTGCAAACCAGTGACAGGATGGGAGAGAACCCAAAGCAGCCCAAGCTTCCAAACTTGGGAGGGGAGAGGAAAGAAGACTTTGGAGGAGGGGGCAGTGATATGAGATTTTTGCCCACAGAGCTTTTTCCTCTCTTTCAACCCTGTGATCAGCTGCCTTGTAACAAGCTGCTCGCAGTATGTGTGTGCTGTGACTAATGTTGGTCAGTGTTAGCTGACTCTAGCTGTGTTCAGATTTCTTTCGTTGAATCTGTAGCTTCTGTAAATATGATTAAATGGCTTTGGCTGTTTAATCAGATTTTCTTTTAGTTGTGACACTTGTATTTTTTTAAATATTTGACTGAAACTATAATAAGACCTTCCTCACCCAGACTGATGTGTTTATACAGGCCCTGTTGTGTGAGAGCCTGTTCCTGGAGTCAGGAGAGGTGTGTGCTCCTCTCCAGCTCCACGTGGGTGAGCTGAGCTCAGTCCCCTGGGTCCAGGGGGCAGCTCTTGCTGAGGGGGACCTGCCTTGCTTTTGGGAGTATGTTGGCTTGGCATGGCCTTCCTTAGTGAAAAGAAAAATAGGCGAAAGAATCATCTTGCAGATGTCATTTCTTCCACAAGTGTTCAGCAAAATGTGTCTGCTCCACGTTTGGGGGCACGAAGTTCCATTGCTAGTCTGAGAAAGGGGTGTTTTAATGATGTAAATCTGCAGAGAAAATAGTGGATGTTTGAGTTGTGGCCACTTAAAATGTAGTTTTGCACTTGCTGCTTAGATTTCCTTGTTTTAATTATTACGTTCTAATGCAAAATAAACTAAAATCCCAACCATCCGAACTTTTGCTTGATTACCTTTCCCAATTAAAAGTTACAGACTCTGCTCCTTCAAAGTAATGGACTCTTGCTCCAACCTGTAGAAGGCTGGGCTGATCCAGATCCATGCTGGGTGAACTCAGTCTGTTACCAGATGCTCCAGAAAAGTAACTTTTCCAGTTCTTAGGTGGCTAGAATATTTTATCTCTGTGTGAATTTAGCTTACAGTCAGTAGCATTTTTTCCCCATACCCTGCAGGCTCTTGAACAGGGGTGAGGCTCCGAGTCAAAGCAGTGCTTTGGAGGAAGGCAGAGCTGAGCTGTTGGTAGAGCAGTTCCTCTGCAGGGTGGTGGTTGTGTGGAGGTGGCTGGGCTGCCTCTGTGTCCCAGGGCCTGGCTTTCAGTGTGGTGAAGGAGTAGCTCTTCCCTGCCACGAGGCTTTATGACTTTCCTAAATAGCTTTGGTTTCTGAACCACATTTGAACTTAGAGCAGTTCTTCACAGTATCAGTCCTTTCACAGATGCAGCTCAGTTGATGCCATTGCTGTTTATGCCCTGTGTGAGCCAAGATGCTGCTGCTTATTTGTGGCCCTTGTTCTTGTAGTGTAAGGCTGGATGGCTTCTTATTTTAACTTGCATCCCTTTTGTCCATCTTTAATGGGATCTTCAAGACACAGCCTTACTGTAAGGATGATGCTACTGAATAAAACTTGCTTGTGGTTTTTTGGGTCTTGTGAGCTTGAAGACTGCAAGAATGGATGATGATTTTTATCTTCTAATAGTGGGGAATGACTGACAAAAAATCAGGAAAAATAGCACCTGAGCAGGCTTTCCACTAAATGTACCTTGAAAGAAATTACTTTGGCAAGATTTCTTAAACTTTAATATACACTGTTGGAAATAAATCTTAATGAAGACCATTTATATTTTCTGGTTAAAATGGTGGAGAAGTTGGGTGAAAGCAAATGTAAATCTGCAAGCAGTATAGACAGTGTTCTCAAATTGGGTAAAGAAACTCCGCATTTCTGATGTCTTTGAACTCTATTGCACTTGCAGTGATGAAGTGACTTAGTGTTGTGGAGTGTTTCACTGTTGTGGTAGCTGTTGAAAGATTGTCATTGTGTTTGTTTTTGCCCACTTCCTGTTTACTGGATTCCTTGTTTTCATCAAAACCGGGAGGGGGGGAGAGAATATTACAAAACTTCTGTCTCAGTTATGAATAAACATTGGGCTGCATGGTTCTTAATTGACCTGGAACTTGGACCCTTGGGCAGAGGTTGAGCTTCTCTCTTTCATGGTCCGGTAGCTGCCATTTGGAACACGTTTTTGGAATGATTCTGCACACTGTCACTTGGGAACCCTTGGTTAAGAGATAATTGCCCCCATTACTGTCTGCAAACCAAAGTTACAGCAGTCCCTTAACATCTAGCTTCTGGGGATTATAGTGCATAAGCTTATTTTGTGTATGTCTTGATTAGTGATTGATATTTAATTGCATTTTTCAGGGGAATAAAATCAGCAGTGTTGATATTACAAAATGACAAAACATCCTCCGAATAGAAGAGGGATCAACTTTGAGGTGGGAGCCCAGTTGGAAGCCCGTGACAGATTAAAAAACTGGTATTTTTTTAAAACCATTCATATTATATTAACTTTAAGTCTTTCATATCTTAAACATTTTGTATTGGTACAATATTTAGAGTCCTAGTGATTGGTTTGTAGGAAAGTAGTTCATTTATAAAAGTTCGTATACCAGTGGTTGAAATGGGCGATAGATGTTGCTGTGTTGTGCTGGCCCTTGAGAAGTGTCTGCTGCTGTGTCTGGGAATAGGATTGCTCCTAAATCCAGTTGGACTTCAGCCTCTCCTCCTCCTGAATTCACCCTTCAAGTTCTGTGCTGTACACAGACTGCAGAGCAGATGTTATGGAAGAGTCAATTCTTTGCAGTAAAAAACACCCCAGGCAGTTCCTCACTGCTTCCTTTCCCGGTGCTGTTGTGAATTCAGAGGCTTTAAAGTCGGATTGAATGTTGTGACCTGTGCTTCTCTGAGGGTGGGTGGTGGGGAAACGTATTCTGCTCTAACAAGTCTGCTCTGGAGGCTGTCTTGCAGCCCTCATCTGTGAGGAGGAACACTTTCTTTGACTAACCACTGCAGCAGGAAGATGGAAATGGGCCTAAAAGCTACTTGGGCTGACTTTGAACTTTGTGACTGTCCATTGCTGGTAGTCAGCTCAAAACTTAGCATTTAATAATTTTCAGTGAGTGAGGCATACAATGAAAATTGTTTGAGTCAGAAGACCCCTTAAATACAAGAAATAATTTGTCTTTAGCTCCTGTAGGGAACTTCTCTTCCGAGCAATGAATTATAGTTGACTTTTTAAATTATTTTTTATTGAGGAGTCTATATGGGTGACTGTACTGAGGGCTCTGGCACATGCCAATAGGCTAAGTGTGCAAAGCCAGTGTTGAAAACCATCTGGGCATCTCAGAAGGACGGAGCACTGCCTTAGACATAGGGAATTTGTTCCAAAATACTCTGCATGCATGCAGAGTGTTCCTCTATTTTACAGGTACAGGGGGATTGGCATTGTGAAAATGAGTAAATGTAGCTCTTTCCATAGAGAACATAAGTATGAACATTACATCATATTTACATGTTGATTTGGCTTACCTGTGTAACCCAGAGTTGCACAGGTAAGCAGTGATCGAATCTGCTGCATCTCTGGTATTGTTGAGTTTTGTCTATACAGCAAAAAACAAGCAGTCAGGCCTGCAAAAAGGCATCTCTTAGCCTGTCTCTGCTGTAGGCTTAATAAAGATGCAGTTTGGTACAGCTGGTGTTTGAGGAAGGCTGATAACTCCTGTTAATAACTATTATCCTTCTGACATGTTTGCACAGCAACAGTGTCACAGCTCTTGAAGGGGAAAACTTGGGGGGGGGGGAATTCAACAACCGCTGTACTTTCCACATAACCCTTGGCCTGAATTTGAATTTTGGATACGCTGAATGTCCCAAACCAAACCATGTTCTTTGGTTTTTGGAAACACATCATAAATGGCCTGTTTCATGCTCAGTGCTTTGCAACTCTGATCTCACAGCTTAGTTATGAACTCTCTGGTTGTGAAAGCTTTCATTTGCTTGCTGAGCTTTGACACCTGGGTTGTGTGTAGTTCTGTTTCCAGGGTTTCTGAACTGAAGTTTGTAAGAGCTGGGGGCTTGTTTTCTGTGAGCAAAAATGTCAGTGGTGACAGGCTGATACACAACTCCTCGGTGTGCAATTTGTAGAGAACAGCAGGCTGCTCTTTCCCCTGCTGCCTTCACCTGCCCCTGTGTGACCACAACCATCCCGTGGTGTGGTGACAGAACTTTGTTTGCTGACACTGCTCCCAGTGCTAGACCTTTGGAGGTTTCAGTGTCCTGTTTGGTCACAGGGCTTTGATTTCTGTGCTCAGTGCCAAACACATCTGTCAGCTCATGGGCTGCTATTGCTGCTCAGATGGCACTGGTGCTTTGGCAAGTGCTTCATTTCAGAGCCCAGTGTGCCTCCCCTTCATGGCAGTGTCTTGTGCCCTGATTTGCTAGTTCAGGACTTCCAGGGTGTGTGGATGTGATGCCAACCCTGTGGAAGAAGACTGTGTGTGTGCCAGCAGAGTAGTCAATGAGGGGTCTGCCCCTTGGCAGAGTGCAAAGTGGATGTCGCATCTGTAGAGCTCATACTGGAGGTTGCTTTGCTGGATTTGGAAGTGCACTTCACTCCCTGGTGCAGTTGTCTGTCACCTCCTGTGCTCAAACTCCAGGGACTACACGGAGTACTTCTGGTGCTTGGCTTAGTTCTTAGGGCATCAGAGTTGTCATGAAAGACTCATGACAGTGTCTGTTGACCTCGAGGTGCTAAAGGAGGAGAGCTCTGGCCATGTGGAGGTGCCCCTGTGCCCGCTGGGAGGTCTCCCAGTACACAGTGCTGGAGTTGAGAGGGTGGGGGAGTGGGACTGCTCCAGTAGGACAGTCCTGCATGGACAGATCCCAGAGCAGGTTGCTGTAGTGATGGACAGGGACACGCTGTCCTGGCTGAATTGACTTCCTCAAACCTTTTGCATGGGATCATTTAAGCTCTGCAGTGCTGGCTGGCTGCATCCTCTCTTACTGAAAAGAAGACAACTGCACTGGTTACCTGTAGCAGGCAAATATTGGCATCTCTTGTGTTACCTTATTGTGATGACACCTCCCCAGTTTTTCTGTTTGTTTGAGTAAAATGGGTGTGAAGAGACTTTTGATTCTGGTTAGGGCTCTCGAGCATTGAAACCAGATTGGTATTGTGAGAGGGTGGTGTACCCTGTTAAGATTTAGATTGTCAGTCCCATGAGTTTAATTGTCCATGCTGTCAGGAATTGGTTTCTTGCTTTGACTACACTGAGCTTGTCCCTTCCCAGCTCCAAGGGAGTGGGAATTAATAGCAATTCTGTTCTGGTATGTAGGAAAGGAGAAGGGAGATAGACCAGTCCAGGGAATTTCCAGATATTTCCCTCTTCCCAGAGGTAAATCTGTGTCTGCCATAAATGCATTCTCATACTGCTTGCTGTGCTTTGACAGCCATGGTGTGAGTTTTTGATTTTTTTTTTTGAGTTTTTGATTGTCACTTGGGTTCTTACAAAACTAATGCCAGCAATTTGGACATCTCAAAAGGTTTTCCCTTACTGTTTAGCCAGTTCCTAAGGCCTTGAACAGTAGAGCTCACCAATCCTTTCAAATTCAATTGGAAAACTGCTTGTTTTGCCCTCCCAGTAAATTGCAAGAAGTTGTCTCGGATTTCAGCTTGTTTTTCACAGTGTTTTAGATAAATATTCAAATCAGTACCAGTTGGGGATTTCTTAGCCAGGATCAGTTAGCTGTCTTGAATAGCCATTGAGGCAGCTGAATGCTTCCTTTGTGCTTTGGGGGAGGATATGTTGGGCTATCCTGGACACAGGGCTTGTGCTCTCTTTTAGGCCTTAACCAGGCTTCAGCTATTGGCCTTTCACTTTGTGTGTCCTCCCAGAGTATGGTTCTTTTTGATAAAGAAGCCTGAATTTCTTTGAAGTGACCTCTGCCCCTTGGCATGTTCACAGGCTTTTTGGAGGATGTGGATGGATGTGCTCTGTTAACTCTTCTGCAGAGATGAGTGCACACTTGTGCCTCCCGACAGGGTGTGCTTGCTCAGTGCTGTGAAGGGGTGCAGGTGTGGGAAGGAGGAAGCTGGGACTGTCAGTGTGTGGTGCTCAGGGCTGTTGAGAACCTGGGAACCTTTCTGCTTGGTTTGGAAGCTGCCAGTGCTGTCATCTGAAAGGGAGGTGGTATTGGGGAGGGGGCTGTCAGAGTTCATGGACAGACCTGGCACAGGTTCTGACAGGTTTACTGTTCAGTGGAGAGCTCTGAACATTTGTTTGCTGATGTTCATTGCTTCAGAAAGAGAAGATCTGGTGAGGCTTTGCACATGTTCTCCAGCTGAGAGCTCTGGTACCACCACACTGCCTCAGCCAAGCTGAGCTTGGGTCTCATTGTCAGATATGCTTCTCTTGATGGTCTGGACTCCCATCAGGGAGTGTTTAGAAGGTGAGGTGGGATAGGTGCAGATGGCACTGGTGTGTGGTTCTGGGATGATGGTTCTAGCATAGAAATTCTCCTTTTCACTGCCTATGAAGCAGGGAACAGCCTTGCAGCATGGACTTCATTGGCTCTTGTCACCTGGGCTTGTCTCTCCCCAGGGGGAGACAGTGAATTGTGTTTACCAGAGATGGTTATATAAGGGTTATCTTGATCCTGAGTCAGTACTCTGTCACCTCTATCAGCTTCCCTGTTCACCTTTGAGAACTAGAGCAGTCCTAGGCCCACTGCAGTCCCGAGGGCTGCTCTCTTATTGAGGGGACCTGAGATTTCGTACCTGGTTTTGCTGCACTCAGATTGTAGGGAACAGGATACCGTTTTTTTGTCATTACCTGTACTTAGTGATAGTCAAAAATTACTTATGTTTAGTAGAACTACTTTGTGACTGTGACCATTGCCCCCTCATGAACTTGTGGAGGGCAGTGCTTGAGGTTACCTGAATATGAACCACCTTGACTGTCACATGAAGGAAGTTGCTTCTTTTCTAGGAAGTTGGTAGTGAGTTAAAGATGTCCCTGCCATGAGTATCTTCCATTTGACTCCCTCTCCTCCCCAGCCTTTGCTACCTGTGTTTTGGCTATACACTGGGGTGAACTAATGGCATGGCTTGAGGCCTGTGGCACTGAGAGTTAAGTGGGGCCTTAGTCTGTAAATGTCTAACAGGGCTTATTTGTGGCTCTTTCTAAACAGTCATGACAGGATGTGTCTCCCATCTGCTGCAGGATTTCAGTTGGAGGTAGCTTTGCTTTTCCTTTGTGTAGGCAGGGTTGTAGAATGGTAGCCTGGGTTGCATTTAAGTCTTAATTCTGACGTGTCTGGGCTTTATTGTGTGGTATCAGTCTCCTTTTGAGATGCCACTTCTTTGTGCCACTTGTCCTGTCTTCTAAGTGTGCTTTGCCAGGTAAAGAATACTTGTGGATTTGGGTTTTGTCTTCAGCCCTTTGTTACAGAGTTCACTGAGGCCTTGCCTTTCTTTCAGAATACTGAAAACACCAACAAGTGGAAATTTTCTTCTGGTGTCATTACTGTGGAGGGGAAAACATTGGTGCTTGGGATGTTATCTTCAGCTGGGGTAGTGAAATATGCTGTGATTCCAAAATACTTGCTGAAGTTACAAATTACCAATGCAATTTAAAGAAATACAGAGTTTACAAAGTCTTCCTGATCAGAAACATTTGAATTTGACTCATCTCAGTTTCCTTTACTTCTGAGAAGTTTATATTTAAAATCCCAGACCTTTGCAGATGAAATTTAACTTTGAGAATCTAAAATTTAGATTAGGTTTAGTGTGCCTGCTGGGCTTTTGCTGTTGTACTGGGAAGATGATTCACGATGCCTACTGATGGATATCTTGGAGAAGTGAGTGCATTGACCCCCAGGTGTTATTCTTGATTAGAGTGAGATATCAGTTTTGTAAGATATCTAGGTGTAGGGAAGGTTTTTCTGACTTCTGGATCTCTAGTTCCATTTCTTTTTCCACCTCAGACTGAGAACTCCTTAGTTGTCTCCTTTTGCTTCAGCCAACGTTTGCCTTTGCTGTTCAGTTTTGGGGTTTGTTCTGTGCTTTGCTCAGTCATTCTGTAGCACCTTTATTGCTCATACAACTGGTACATCAATTAGTAATAAGACTGGAGAAGCTAAACCGAGCTCTGTTTGTGTGAAGTGTCTGACACAGCTTACCTTCTTCTCAACTAAAATATCTTAATCTCCCTTTGGCCAGGTACCCAGCTCACATTGAAGAAATCGATTATGAAGAGGGGAAAGTGCTTATCCATTTCAAACGCTGGAACCACAGATACGACGAATGGTTCTGCTGGGACAGCCCTTACTTGCGTCCCTTAGAGAAAATCCAGTTAAGGAAAGAGGGATTGCATGAGGAGGAAGGCTGTGCAGTAAGTAGAACTTACGGGACATTTGAGCACGTAGCAGCTTAATGTGCGGTTTGTTTTAAATATTGAAAGGCTGATGGCTGGAATGTTGTAATGAAATTGTGTGTTTCAGTAATTCTCAGATGAAGATACTTTTACCTCATGTCTCGTAGGGGTTCCATATCAATGACCAGGTCTTGGCGTGCTGGTCCGACTGTCGCTTCTACCCGGCCAAAGTTACTTCTGTTAACAAAGATGGTAAGGCCTTGTTTCTGCTTTTGTCATGGTTGTTATGATGCATTTCTAATTGTGTTGGGACTTCTTTACTTAGGTGGAAGGGTAGTACAGCAGACACAAGACAGCTATGTGAAGCTGTATTATTATGTGTTATAGCCTCTCATCCTGTTTGTGAGATATAAAACCTTTCTGCTGGGATATCCAGTCAGTAATTGCTTGAAGTCTATATTTGGGAAAAGTTATTCCTGAAGTTTGTTGTCAGGAGATGCATGTAACTGCAATAAAACTGGTGTCAGAGCTGCAAAAGCCCTTTGAAAACCAGAAGGGAAGTGGAGTGGAACCACGAAAGACTTGTTCTAGTGCTGGGCTTACTTTAGGTTGACTGTGTTGTAAGATCAAGGAGAAGAAGGCTGTGTAATTATGTATCAGAATATTCCACCAAGAATATTTTGGAATTTTGTGAGTAAAATGCATCTAAGGAGCAGCTCTTAAGAGTAGATGTGCACCTTTATTCTGACCAGAGTTATTTTGGGTAACTTTGAGTCTCCCTTACTTGGCCTGTGATGGGAGCTCTGCTGTTGAGGGTTCTAAGGACACAGATAAGGCAGCTTTTATCTAGAGCTAAGTATTCAGTTGGAATATTGGAGCTGGTAGGAAATGCTCTGTTAAATAACTTCTGATCTTTGAGCTCGTGCTTTATTTTCAAATTTTAGGTACTTACACTGTGAAATTTTATGATGGTGTAGTGCAGACGGTCAAGAACATTCATGTCAAAGCTTTTTCCAAAGATCAGGTGGGTATTGTGTTTGTGCTGCCTGGTGTATTCTAAGTTCAGGTGGCTGGATTTGATCAATTATAAAACATGACACGAATGAAACATCCTTATTGCTAAAATACAGTGTATCTGAAGTGAAGTGTCTTAAAATGAAAAGGTTCTGTGAATCTTTGTGGTGTGATTTCCAAAGCTCTCGGGTTCAGGTTCTCTGAGTGCACTTCTTGAACTAAAGAAGTCATTGAGATTAGTTTATGTATGCCTTAAAATAAAGGGAAGGAAACTGGGGAGGGGGCAGAAACTGTTCTTTCCCAAAGGAACTACTTAGTTGTCCTGAGACTTTTAAGGAACATGGCTATTTATCTTTCACCTCACAACTTTAAGAAAATAGGCTTTTTTAACTATTCCTTCTTCCACTTCTGTGGTTTGGCTGTTCTACCAACCCTTCACCTGCTCAGTGCGGTGGTTCAGCCTTCAGCTCATGATGGAAAGTAATAGTAAACCATTATATGAAAGAAAAATAATTATAATCTGTCCTGCTCGTGGTGAGAAGGAAGAAATAGTGCTTTGTACATTGATTTTCATGTGTGAGCACTCTGTAGGAAAGGCTGACAAGTTCTGCTCTTGAGTAACTTGGTCAAAGCTTCTGAAGTACCTGCTTCAGAATAATTTTTGTTATAGGGAGGGTTTAGAAGTTTTAGACCTTTCATTAGCTGTAACCTGTGGTTTTTTGTCATGGTTTTAGTTTTCTGAAACTTGTTTGAGTAAAGAAACCGACTTAGTCTCCCCAGTACAAGTGTTAAACACAGATTCCAGGAATGAATTGCCAGCAATACAATTTAAATCTGTTTAATTTAAACTGTTACATTTTAAACTGTTGTGAGGAAGTGTGCCATTCCTTGGAGGTCTCCAGAGTTCTGTGTCTGCTAAGCTGGGAGGGAAAATGATTTCAGATTTGCCACAAAGTGCAATTAGTAGCTTTTAAATGGTTATTGTGGTGCCTGGCTGAAGGTTGACCTATACGAGGGAACAACCTGCAGAGTCTTCATTGCCATGACAAATGTTTCCACCATATTTAGCATTAAATGCATGAAGTTGAACAATCTGAAGAAATACTCTGCATAAGAAAGCCAAAATATTTTGTCTCTCCTTTAGGGAGTTTCATGTTTCTGCATAGCTCTGGAAATTCTTTGAAAGGAGCTGAAGGGTTGTTTTTTTTTTTTGTTTCCTCCTTTTAACCATTGACCAAATTTCTTAGTCCAAGAGAATCTCTTTAAGTTATGGCAGAACATTTTTTCTGTCCTTTAGCATAAAGCAGCATCAAGTGAGGGTTTCCTGGTGAGCTCTGTTTACATAGCCAGAAGTAAAGTTTAAAAAAAAACCCACTTGAGCCACTGGAGAGCTGCAGGTTCAGATGTGAGTGTGAGTTGCCAAGGTGGAGGTTCAGGTACAGCAGGGGTGCAGCAGTGTGCTGGACCTGGAGGAAGGTGTCTGTTCTTCAGGAGGAGAGAAGGGAGCCTTTAAGGCACACATGGCTCACATCTTGGTAGTTGTTAAGGGGAAAAAAAGGCTCCCAACCCACCTGGTTCCTGAAGGGAGCAACATGAGCTGATCAGAATTTCTTTAATGAGAGTGTAGAGGGTGTAACAGGCCATGTTGAGCAGTGATGGTAAAATGCTAATGACCTGCAACAGTGTGAATGTGCCTTTGCAAGGACATGCAGCTTTGGGGAGATCAGGAACATCAGCAGGTGACTCAGACATACTGGAGTCATGATTCATTTTCCTGAGAATATTTTGGCTAAGATGGCTTATGAGAGTTCCAGTAGCACACACTTGATTCAGATCAGCTGGTTCTGTGAGCAAGTGCTGAAACATAGTGCCTGAGGGTTGTTTTTTCAGTTGTTTTTATTTTTTTGGTTTGTTTTTTAATAACGTTTGAGTTTCCACTGAAGCTTCTCCCATAGCTGTGGCACTTAAGGAGTTTACAAAAGACAGATTATTGTGATGTCTGGTAAAGACAATGCTCAGACATCTAAAAAGGTGAAAGGCTTTCTTCCCATTTGCCTGCTTGTTTTCATGAAATATATAACAATTTGATTTCACACTTTTAAACAGTGATTTTTTTTTTTTTTTAAATCAAGTCTGTCCCAAGTATGGTTGAAATAATACAGAGGGTGAAGATGCAGGAGGCAAGGTGTAGTGCAGTACAAGGAGATAGTGAGTTTTCAGTGTATTCTGAGAAGTTTTTATAGCTCAAATCAGCTGTCTCTCTTTCCCAAAGAAGCACTGAGGTATTTAGCTGTCCTCTGATCCTGGTTCCAAGCTGAAGCTTCTTGTGCCCTGCAGAACTGTCTCTGGAAAGGAGCATGGGTGCTCCTTAATGCTTCAGGTTATTAGGCAGCAGGAAGAGAGAGGTGGTGGTTGAACTGAAGGCAGTGTTGGCACATGACCAAATAGAAATTATTACTCCAGGTGCAAAGCCAGAGGGTTCATGTTCATCTGGGACAGCCTGTCACAGGATCCTTCGAAGGGGGAAAACCAAAATCAACCTTTATCCTCCTCTGCTCCCCAGTGATGTTACTGTGAAACATGAAGGAGCTGTTGGTGCAGGGTGTTCTTCCTGGTCTGGTGTTATTAAATAAGAGCTCTGAGGAAACGAGGTGGCAGTTGAATGTTGCATCAGTAGCATGCTGGCCAGGGACCATTAAGGATTTTCATGTCCTCTCGTGCTGGACAGAAATTACAAAGTAAGTTCCAAATTTTGGGTTTAAGTTTAAATGTGGTTCCTGATGACTTTGGTGATTGCGGTTGCTTTAATGACTCTGCCTTTTATCCTCTGGAAAACGGGACAAGGATACAGGACTGCTCCATACGGAGGTGAGGGGTGACTTCAGACTGCAATAAGTTGATTTTCTCATGTCATTCTCTTTATCTAGAATATTGTGGGTGATGCTAAGCCTAAGGAAAGAGGTGATGAAATTCCGTCATCTCCTGAAAACCGGGAGAAATTTAAAGAGCAGAGGAAAGCAGCAGGTAACGCAAAGAAAGACGAAGATGAAAAGACACTGAAGACTGAGAAACGAGTCAAGCAGCCTGATAAAGAGGGGAAATTTCTGGTCATCTCGGAAAAAGGCAAGGTCTCAGAAAAGAATATATCCAAGAATGGGAAAGAAGATAAAGAGAATATATCAGAGAATGATATGGAATATTCAGTAGATACACAAATTGAGAAGAAGCCTGAGAATGACAATGTAAAGAGTCCACAGGAGAACACAAAAGAAACCAAACGAAAGCGTGGCAGACCACCAATAACCCCTCCAACAGGTATGTAGTGAAGGGTGAATGTTCAGGCCATATGTCAGAACATTTCTAAACTTACCTGAAGGAACGAGAAGTATTTTGCTCTCTCACACCCTACATCTCTAGAAACTTTGTAAAAAATGTTAAGCTCCCCTTTGTTCAGGCCAGCTGAGAGCATCCTTGTCAGGTTTGGAGCCTCAGTGGCTTGGTCAGAGATCAGGTTTAGGCAGGTAGCCCTCGTGTATTATAAAGCAATCCTGCAGGAGGGCTAAATGCTATTGTGAGAGCTTCAGAAAACCAGGGGAAGCTGTATTTATGCAGGCTCAGGGTTTCAGGTTGTGAGGCTTTGGAATTGGTGTTAGTGTTTCAAAGCTTCATATCCAGTCAGTTTTTCTTCTCTCTCCAAACAGAGCCAAGTTCCCAGACCCTGCAGCCCATAACTTTGGAGTTGAGACGTCGGAAAATCCCTAAAGGAGGGGATGTTCCAGCAAAGCGTGCCAGGATCGAAAAAAACTTGTGTGAGTGTTTTCTGGTACTCAACTCTCACAGTATTTGCATATATAAAGTTCTTCAAGCTTAAGGGATGGGGAGGGGGAAAACTGTAATATTAACCTTGAACTGGAACAGATGCATTGACTGAAATCCAGCACTGGTTTTCTTATATTGGCCATTCAAATGTGGCATCCTGCTGGAATTCCTCCTAAATCTTGGAAGTTGGGTTTGGATAAAGGAGGCATCAGCTGTGAGCCTTGAGAAAGGAGTTCATAAACGTAGGGGAGGCAGTGATTATATTGCCTCCACTATATAGAAGGTTATAAAAGCCTTAAAAGTTGTAGAAACTCCTCAGTTAATAGATGCAGGATTTACCACATTGTTTAGCAAAGGCACTTCAATACTCGTGTCTCTGCAGCCAAACAGCTTTCTACTTTACCTTGGTGTGTTGGATGTTGAGATTGAAGTGCTTGGATGTGTTGATGAGGAAAGAGAATTATATTCTCTGTAGCAGTCTCAGGACCAAGGAGGTGAAGAGCTGAAAGCTCTTTCCCTTCCTTAGGACCACAGAGTGTTAAAACTTCAGTGTGTGTACATTATCCATCTCAGGGTGACAGGTGTGTGTCTGAATCCTCATCTAACTCCTGGTGTTTTATGTCAGTGGTACAGCTGCTGTTGAGAACAGTGCTGCTCCAGATACTGATTGTATCTGTACTTCAGTTCTGTTACTAGAAGAAAAAAGTTGAGAGCTCTGTGTGATAGGCTTGTGCTGTATTTTTGTGTTTATTTATAACTGTTACAATTGTAGCTTTTACAGAGGCTTAATCACCCAGGCTTTTTAGCTTTTGCTGTTAACCTCAGTCCTTAAACACACTTGGAAACTATCCCAGGCAGGGGAGAACTTCAAAGTTTGCTTGTGGGCTATTTAGTAATCCTGTGACTGCGTGGTACCAATGGTACCATTAAATGTGCCTGTTCCAGCTCAGGAAAAATTTAAGAACTCTTCAGATAATGCTGAGAGAGACCAGAGCAGGAGACGATCTTCGAGACTCTCGTCCAGTATTAGCCATGAGATTTTAAATACGGATCTTGTCACAACTTCTGCAGAAATTCAGCCTTGGAAAGATGCAGTATGTAACCAAAACGAGTCTGAGAAGGGTAAGTGGCTTCCTGGTGTACTCTGGATTTGTGTGCTGAGATAGCAATCTACTTGTTGTAAGCTCTGTATTTTCCCTTGCTTAACCTGCAGGCTCTGTATCTGCAATTAGAACCTGATTGCATCAGCAGTGCAGGGAAAACTCTTGGAAAGTTTCTCTCTCTGCTGTCCTGGATGCATTTTGCTTTTGATTCCCCCTGCATCAGTAACCCTGGTATTTTCCTTGGGTGGAGGGAGTTTTTCCAGTGGAGGATAACTGATGACTGGCCTTGCAAAAGAGTATTTTTCAACCTATGGAACTCTCCAAAGAAATAGTTTGGTTTGATTGTGGGGGTGTTTTTTTGGTGGGTGAGTGGGGGTTTTTTAGGGTGGTGTTTTTTTGTTTTATTTGTTTGGGGTTTTTTGGTGTTTAGTTTATTTTTTTGTTGTGGTTTTTTTTTTATTTGGCTTGTGTTTCTGTTTGGGGGGTGTTTTGCTTTGGGTTTTTGTTTGATGGCTTGGTTTGGGATTTTTTGTGGCTGGGTTTTCTTTTTTTAGGAAATGCAGGTTATGCTTATGAAAATGAGGTAATTACAAAGTTTCAGCACTTTCAGATTGAAGAAGTAACAACCCAAATGCTGAACTTACAGTTCTTACAGCTGAATCCTGTTGAACACAAAAAGCATCAAATGGGATGTTTGAATCTTAGACTTAGTGGAGAGAACACTCCCTTTTGTGCCCTTTTGGGGGAGCTCTGATGGTGGTTTGAGGAGACCTGTCCTATTTTGGGCCACGAACAATTACATAGCCTGTGTGTTTGTAAGAGCTGTCAGTTTAGAGAGTTGCTGCAGGGAGCTGTGTTGTGTGTGACCGCAGGAGCAAGCAGAGCATGGATGGGAGTTGTTCTGCATGCAGTGGGATGAGCACCCCCCCAGTGTTCTGCAGGATGATTTTGTCTGCGTTTTACTCAGTGGAGGTGTTTTTCTTATTGCAGCCCAGTTAGAAACTCCTGTTGAACCTGACCAAAGTTTCAGTGAACAGGGATCACCTGGACACACGTCACCAGGCACAGCACTCGCTACAGATGCCAGTTTACAGGAAGGAAAAGCAGAAGACACTGAGTCTTCCTCTGTTACTGCCAGAACTCAAGAACCTTCTGCTGCTACAGGTTCAGATTTTTCATATTTAACATTGGTGCATTTCTTAAGGCAACTGATGCCAGGTGTTTTGTGCTTGTACAAGTGTTACTAACAAACCCTGTGCATTCTTGCAGTGTTAGTGTAGGTAAAAAATATGTATTTTTATTCCTTATGGGCTCAGTTTTAATCTTATGCTTTGGCGACGAACAGTGATCTTCTTAGAAGTGGAAATCATAATTTTCAAATGACTGGGTGTAATATTTTCAGCATGAGTGATGAAGTTAACAAGTGCTTGTTTTCAGTGTTTGGAATTCTGGATTAAGTTGGACTAACATCTTCAAAGATCAGGTTCTTCTACCCTTTCTGTGCTGCAGGTGTGTAGTAACATTACTGTTACTGCTGGCTGGGAATCCTGATTGTGCATTTTTATATCCTTATGTTTAGGCTATTAAAAGGTTTTAGTGCAAATTTATGGAATAGTGCAAACATTTCAGTGTCTGTCTTAGTAATACACATATTCTATTTTCTCTTACCTGGGAGTGTTCCTACCTTGCTTTTTCAAATTAAAATTTCCTATGCAGATAGTAGACTGTGTCAAAATGTGGTGCTGTCCTGTGATTATTTCTCATAACTTTAATCCTTGGATCTACAGTTAAGTGGGCAAACTTGAACTACCCATTTCCTAGTTTATGCTCTATCAGAAAAGCTGAATTTGAAATGGAACAGAGCATTTGGAGAGATTCACAGTGCTCAGCACTGCTGTTGTAATGTCTGTGTGCTGGCTGCCCTCCTGTTTGGTCATTTCAGGTTGCCCTGCTGCTTGCACAGACCCTCTCGCAGTGCCTCTGGGGTCACTGCACGGCTGGGGTGTCCCCTCCTCTTCACTGGTGTGCCCCCTCAGTGCAGGAAGGAGCTGAGCCCTTCCCTTGGCTCGGGTGGGATGTGGGAATGGTCTTTTACTATTGAGCTATTAGAACTCTTTTGATGTTGGTGTCCTTCAGCTGTTGCTGAGCATTTGTAATTTGGGCTTAAACTGGGGAGAATTCCAGCTGAATGTGTAACACCCGTGTGTGTGGTGTCAGTCCCACTGGTGGGTGTGTGGAATGTGGCCCTCTCCTGAGCTTGCTTCCTCAGGTATAAGCAGGAAGGCTGTGGGAACAGCTGCCCAAAGGCTCTGACAGAGCTTGTGCACTCCTGTTCCTGGCACTTGTGTCAGGACTTGAGCAAGCTGGATTAATTTAGGAATATGCACTCACACTGAATTCTGACCTGAAGTTCAGCACAGTGGTGCGATGTACAACCCCACACTTCTGAGCATGGGTTTTGTTTTACTTAATTAAAGCCATCTCATGTACAGTTACAAATGCCAGACATGCAGCTGGGTGGACATCCAGATGTGGCAAGCAGCTGTTTTTGTTGGAGAGAACTTGTAAGGATGGGGAATAAAAACTCCACTGGGTCTTTCTGAGTAAATGCTGTCACCTGAAATCAAAGTACAGAGATCTACATTTCCATACTTAATCAACATTAAAAATGCTATTAATGAGCAGTTCATTGAGAGAAGGGTTTTAAAATTCACTGATTCTATCACAGATCAGTGCTTTGTAGCTAAGTGTGGATCTGTGTTTCCCTGTCCGTGGGATGGTTCCTGTGCCTGCAGGGCTGCTGAGCTGCCTCGTGGGGCACAGCAGGCCTTGGTGGGGAGGGGTGTGGAGAGGCCTTTGGGTATGACCTGAAAATGCCTCCTGCCCTCGTGGAAGGGGTGGGTGTGTCACAGAACTGGGTGTGTTGTCCTAAAAATAGCTGGTGTCGGAGCTGAAGGCAGCGGGAATGCACGGCTCCAGATGGAACTGTGTGTCAGGCAGGTGTGCTTGTTATGCTCTCAGTCTGCCCTGGGTACTAAACAGAGCTGGGGGCTTGGGAAGGGAAGGAGTGCATTGTCAGAGTAGGTGGTGTGGGTGGAAAATGGGGTGTTTATTGCATGCAGGATTCCCTCAAAATACAGCATGGAAGTTCAGCTCAGCAGTAACTTCTGATACGTAGAAGAAGTGCAATATTGTAACCCAGCACTAACATTTTTATTTGTCTATAGGCTTTAATTCTAGTCACTTAATGAGAATTCTTCCTCTTCTTAGGAAAGTAGGAAAATACTGCAAAATAACATTAATAACCTTTGTTTTCTTCAGTGTGATATGTTAGGGTTGTTAGTGAGTGATGCACCTGGGTAGTACTGGTTTTACCCTGCATGGTTTATAGGAAGACCATGACTTTTACAGCATTTGAGTATCAAGAATTTTGAAGGACAAAAGCATAGTTTTTAAAGGGTGTTTTTTCAGTGACTGATTGGTAGATGATTCAAGATTCACAGTAGTTGCAGACATAACAGCACACACAATCTGAAATCTTTTTATCATTGTATGTTTTAAAATGTGTATGTCTGTAACGTGTTCTGAAAGGGCAGTACAGCATTTCTTCTCAAAACTTAAACTGCTTTTTAAAATTTTCCAACAAAATTCCAATTAATGTACTAGAAGATAAAAATCCTGCTCTGATGGCTTTTGGTGCCTCTAAGGACAAAGGACCAGAAAGGGTGATGAGAGTTTAGCTAAATCAAGTTGTCTTCCAAGAAGCTGCTGGCAAGTCTTGTGGCAAATGTTTGCAGTGAGTCAAAGCTGTGTTTCATATGTCTGAAAACAGGCTTGAAGCCCTGTACAGGAGCTGTGAGTTTACTCTTACAAACTGATTGGGCTGTACAGGTGAGCTGCCTTTGCTTTGCACACATCTGCTGTCGTGTTTGTAGTTGTATTTCCCAGCACTCCTAAAATTACTTCTTTATTTGCATAGACAGGCAGTGGGGATTCCATTTGCCTTCTACTTACACCTGTTTTTCTGATTTTGTTGCTCTTAGCTTTGGTTTCAGTTAAGGAGAAGCATCCATTTGAGGGAGCTGCTGTTCTCCTGCAGCTCACCCGGGCAGGCTTTGAGCCCTTCAAGGGAGGGTAGAAGTTGTCACTTTGAGCTTGTGGTAGGTAATAAAGTCCTTCCTACCTTGCTGATTTAAAGCTCCCTACAAGGAGGCTGCACAATCTGGTCAGTGTTGCAGATACACCTCAAAGTGCAGGTAGAGCCTTTACCTCCTCCCACCTGGCCCCCTGTGAGGGCACATGGAGGGGCAGATGATGCACTGCTCACTCATCCCCTTATTGAGCAGCACAGACTTCCCTGCTCTTATGGACGCCTGTTTGGTTCCAGCACAGGGAGAAAACAGTGAGGGGAGGGTCATGGGAAGTACTGTCCTGAGTAGTTCTTGCACCACCAAGTAATGTTACAAAATAATCACACCTTTATGAATGTGTAATGACCTGTGATTGTTGATGCTGTATGTGTTTCTTACACCAGGCATCTCCTTGTACGGATTCTGGATGCACTGGAAATGCTTTATCCTTACCTAAACTGGTTTGAGAAGAGCAATTAAGCAAGATGGTTTTTGTTTCACAACTGAGAGCTTGAAAGAAAGAGGTTTTTGAAAAGGAAGGAAGGAAGAAATGTAGTTTGAGAGCTTAAATGGTGATCAGGAACACTTGGTGAGCTCAGGAAAAACGAGATTTCAGAAGAAATAAGTAATTAGCGGGGTGAGAAGTGGCCCAAAGCACAGTGTGAAAACTGTTTTACTGTGCACTTGGTGCTCGGTGTGACCCTTGAGTCACTCAGCCCCGAGAAGACTCAGGGGTTTCCTCACTGCAACACTGGAGGGATATTTTTGAAAGTTAAAGCAGACACTGATGCTTGACATTGAGTGTCTGTGCTTAATGTTGTAATGGCTAATTGAAAGCCAGATGAGGAGTTTTAATTTTGGTTATAAACGTGGAAAAGAAATAGCAGGTGTGAACTTACTGTTCACTTTGCTCTGTGCTCAGGGAAAACACCCACCAAGCTCCTCAGGAAAAGGCAAGTGCCTGAAAATCTGAAGATAATACAGCAAAACTTTCTATAGAAAGCAGTTTTAGTAGCATGAGTTGTGAGCAAAAATTCCATTTGTAAGGTTGGCAGCTGCCCCTTTAGGTGTTGGTGTAAGGAGTGATTTTCCCAGCACTCAGCTGGGAGCGGAGGCTCTGCAGAGGCTGCCCTGGGTGGGGAAGTTGGGTGTCAGCTGCCTGCTGTGCCCAGCTGACAGCCACTTCTGTTGTTACTTGTAGAGAAGGAATATGCCCCCAAATGTGGCAGTGATGGGAATAAATGAAGCAATTTCAAATTGTGTGGGATTTTCTGCATTTTTGTTACTCTGAATACCTTTCTTTGGCATGTTGCAGTAAGCTTTTTGTCTGCTTTCTCTCCCCTTGCCCCATGCCTTTGTTATCTCTTATTTCTAAGCTTCAGCAAACATGATCCTGTCCTCTCTTCTGCCCTGTAGCTGATCAGTTAAAGTCATTCCCTGTGTGTTCTCCAGAGTCTGTCCAGCTCAGTGAAGGGGAAGTGCTCTAAGCTCGGATGCAGGGCCTCATCCTGACACTTTTGTGGTGGTACAACATTTTCCCTTATCATCCCTGTAATGTTTTTTTCCTAAGTCTTTGGACCCCATCACTCCCTTCTGCTGTAGTTATATTATCCTATCTTTGTGTTAGATATTAAACAGTAACAAATTCTCAGCATTCATAGTCCTGAATACTGGATTTTAGCTTTGCAGTCAAGAGAACCTTCTTGTGTTTGCTTTCCCTAAACCCACAGCCATTGCCCTGAGCCTCCCCGAAATCCTTTTTCCTTCTTTCCAAATGCAGCTTTTCCATTTTGGTTTGGCAGCCTCTGTCACTCTGCAGGTGTGATTCAGTAGCCTGGCTTTGCTGCAGTCCTGCTGGTGTCTCTGTCAGCACGTTCTTACCATGCCTGTGCCCCAGTGTCTTCCTCCTGCTCACCTGTAGAAAATCTTATTCTTGTTCATGACGTTTCTGGGTCCTTTTGTCCCTTGTTTTCAGCTGCTTCATTTTCATTCATGCTCAGTCACTGTTGCTAAGGCCTGGGTCTTGCCTTCAAACACTTCTTGCTTAATCCTGCAAGTTGAAAATACTTATAAATATGGAAATAATATTTGAATGCTGGCAAAACAAATTGAAAGAAATTGTTTTGGAAGCTGTTTCTTAGAAATGAGAGCCTTTTGAAATTGTCTCCTAGCTGGAGAGGGATTTTGTGATTGTGTGTGTGTATTAGTGATGGATAATTGCATTGAGCTCTTTATATCTAATTCCTAATTTTTACCTCTCCTGTGTTGTATTGAGTACAGCTACTGGTGACAGTAATCTGATTCAGTTCAAAATGTTGCTTTTTTATGTTTCTTAGCAAAAACGTGAATTAAAACTTTCTGAAATGATAAAACAGGAACTAGGAGTTTACCAGGTCAATTTAGATACAACCCCAAGTTGCATGGCAGTGCTGTGGAAAATAAGTGCCTTAAAATGTTCTTCTGTGTGAGCCTGAAAACTTGCCCTGCTTTTTTTGAGAAACTGGGTAACTGTAGCTCATAGGAAACGTTTTGTAACAGGCAGTTTTCCTTTTGCTTGCTTTCATGCTTTCATTGCTGCTTCAAAATGGAACTAAATTCAATTTTACTTGAAAAAAAAATGTTTCTCTGACATATTGCTTCCATTGTCCTTGGAAATAGCCAGGTTTCAGTGGTGGGACCCAGCAAGCAGTAGCAAAATAATGGTTAGCAGAGAAGCAGAACTGTTTCCCTTGGAAAGTGTTAAAAAGTATAAATACTTCATAGAACATGACTTAGAGACATAATCTCTGTGGGATTCAGTCTTTTGTGTGTAGGAGCACTGTACACTGGTATCAGCTGTTGGGCAAGAGACTCAGGGAAGCAAAATGGTTTTTTTCTAACAGTAACTCATAACGGTGCTGGTGTCACGACAACCACTTTTTAAGAACAGTGAAGGCAGAGTTTTCCCTTTAAAGCTATTGATCTTAAAGGCAGATAAAGCATTAACATTTTGTCTTTAGCATTTCATGGCTAATATGTTTGAATGCATGCTTACTTAACTTTTTTTTTATTTATTTTTTTTAAGTTCAGGAAACCATTTGATAAATGTAGCAAATGCATGGGGGAATTTATCTGTTTTGTTCTTACAGTAACAAAACCTTGTAGGAGAACAGACTTTCTTGCATCAAAAAAAGCTGCAACTGTTGACCAGGATCACAAGTTTAGATGCAAGTTCTTGGACTGTTCCAAATCCTTCCGCAAAGCCAAGTTATTGCATTATCACATGAAATACTTTCATGGAGTGGAGAAGGCTGCAGAGTCACAGCAGAACCCTGTAAAAAGAAATATTCAAACCAGAGCTTCTTTGGCTTCTGAAAAAGCTAATCAAGAAAGGTCAAAAAGAGGACGGAGCACAGCTGGGTCACTGTGTAAGTATGGTGCTGATCTCTTCCTTTTTTGTTAAGCAGCAGCAGGCAGGACAGGTGGAGAAGAACAGAAAGGCATTTTCTTTTGGGCTGAAGGAGTCTTTCTAGGGCTCAGTCTTAGCATTTTTCTGTGTGGAGAAGAAATACAATATGTGTGCACATGTTGTTTTAGAGAAGATAATACTGAAGAAATTCCCTTCTCTAGGAATACGGATCATGTTCTGGTAAAGAACTCGCTATGCATCTTCTCTTTGTAGTAACTCACTTGCACCTTTATACCTCTGTTCCTTTTAAAAAAATACAATTCCCTGAGTTTCTGACTCGATTTTTATTTTTCTCCTGGCTTGACAAATAGTATTGGTTGAAGTCTTCTCTCCTTTTTTGTATTGGGGAAAAGGTCTGAGTAACTCCAGTTCTGTCCTATTTCTTCCTTGCTCTTTACATGTCATGGGCTACTTTCAAGCATATGCCTGGCTAGAAATCCAGTTCCTGAAGTACTTACTGTTCTGTGGGCTGAAAAGTCCTAGTATTTAACAAATGCAGTTGTTTCAGATGGGCTTAAAAAAGATCCTCACATAACAGATGGGTAATGGAAAGGAATAAAAACTTAATAGTTAGCAATAAAACCCCAAACACTTTCTCTTTTTTTTGTTTGTTTGTGAGTTATGACCTTTGCAGTTTGCAAAGTCACATTCACTTCTGCTTCCCCCTCGTTTCCTGAAGCGCTTTGTGCCCCGTGCACGACCCTGGAGTGGCAGTGTAGGTGTGGTGTGAGCTGCAGTGGTGCTGCTGAGAACCTGCCCAGACTTTGCTCTTGTGGACTGATGTCTCTGTGCTGTGGGCCCATAAAACTGGTTGTGTCTTCTGCCTTTTCACGGAGCCTTTCTTATAAAACCCAGCTTTCTACTTGCTGAATTCCCCAGTGTCTTTCTTTGCATTTGATCTTTCATTAATATTCTGTTAAAGCATTTCAGTCTTGCAAACTGCTCCCAGAGCTCCAGCTCACCCCAGCAGAAGATGCCTTGTCTTACTTTACTTCAGGGCTGCTTTTCTTATGAGCCCAGAAAACGATTTTTCACTTGAGGTGTTCCTTGCTTGTTCCTAAAAAGATCAGTGGAACTTTACCTACTGTTATTACATGTAACCCCCAAATACCTCTGTAACTTTAAATCCTGCAAAGGCAGAAGATTGGATTAGAGATAGTTTTCTTTAGGTGTATTAGGATGTGATGAGTTGTGTGTGTTGTACCGTGCATGCAGCTTAACTGAGCCCAAATACTGCCTGGAGGAACCCACCTGGGACCAGCAGTGTGAGCACTGGCTGCTGACACTGCTCATGGACCAGGTCAGGCTTTGTGCATCTCACGTGCTTCTCCATAGCCAGACTTCTGTTAGGCTCTTTCCAACTGCATAATTATTTTGATTTGTGGAGTTGTTTTCCTGTGATTGTCTTGGATGTACTGACTAGTGACTCAAGGTCTTGACCCTCCCATTTATCCTTTCCAAGTGCACACAGTTGCTTTGATGTCATCATCTCCTCATCATTCCTTGTGGTGTTGAGATGTAACTGTACTTGCTCATTTTAAGCCCCCACCCCTCTCATTCCCGTTTGTGAATGGATACTTTTCACCTGGATCATTTCCATGATGTGCTTCCCAGGCTCTCCCTGCCCACAGCCCCTGGGGTGTGCTGACATCAAGGTGGAAGGGGGGCTGGAAACTTCTCCACTCACCTTCCCACTCAAAGCCTGCTTGTGTGAAGGCACACTGAGGTTTGTCCTGATGAGGAAAAGTAATATCATTATATATTAATTACAGCATGTGACTGATACCGAGTGCCACTGGTTTGCATCTCACTGTGTTCTTAATTCCTCAGTTTTTTGTGCTCCAAACCAGAGTAATGGGGTTATGAGCTCAAACTGTTGGATTTGAAGTTCTGTTCTGCCTTGATGGCACATGTAGGAAGCCAAGTCTGCTAAGCAAGACTTTCTGTGTGCTGAATGCTTTTATGTCACCTTTTCAAAAGGCATTTTAGGATGTACTGCTTAGAGGGAAGGCTTTGGAATCCATAATTCAGTCCAGGATGTGGTGGGTCCACTTTTCATCCTTACAGTCCTTCTATAAAAGAGAAAATACCTAAATCATTTAAACTTTGCTACAAATGTCCTTTTCTTGTACTTCACTATATTAGGTTGATTTTAGTGCTTAAGAAAAGGTGGGTATTTCTCACAGATAAAGCTTTAGAAATTGTGAATCTTTTTATTCCAAAAGCTTGAAGATGCTCTTGGCTTTAGAAGCTTTGTCACACTTAAGTCCTTATTTGACAAGTTTTATTTTAGAGTTCTGAGGCTCTTTACTGTTTCTACTACACAGAAATAAGTGGGGGAGATGGTCTGTTACTATATAGCAAATGAAAATACTTATTGTCCCTAAAGTTCCAGAAAAATCTGCAGTATTCAGAACAGTAGCAAAACCTTTTCCATGAAGTGCTTAACATTATAATTTCAACACATAAAAAAGATGGATGTAAGAGGTCTTCAGTGACCACATTGTGGCATGTGGGAAGGAACAATTTAAATATGAATGCACCGAAGTGGAGACTGAAATTCTGACCTCTGAAATGTAAATTGTGCCACTTGGTGTTGAGTGAGCTGGAAAGGTTGATGTGGGACTGATTTGTCTCTCCCTCTTTCCAAAGAAGGATCTTGCCTTTGCAGTGGCAAATTTGACAGATAGCTCTCTCAAGTTCTATAGTGGCTCTGAACAGAGGGGAAGGAGCTACCATTGCCTGCTGCTTGTGTTTTAGACATGCCTTAACAGAATCAGCCTGGATAGAGGGACCGGGGCTTTAAGGCCCCTGGATGTGTTCAGGCAATTCCTCTTTAATTAATCAGGAAATCTGATGAAATCATGACGAGGTAGCTCCTCCCCCACGCCCGTGTTACAACACTGACCTCCACAAGTTTGGTCTCCAGGAAAGAACTGTTCTCACAGAGCAAGCTGTTGATTTTGTGTCCCCCTGGACTAGAGGAGGTGCAGATATTCCTGCCCTCCGGTGAACAGGAGAATGGAACCTGCACCAGTGGGGGTGCTTGAGCTCTGAGGAAGCGTTTTGGGCCTGGGCTGCAGACACTGCTCAGTGTTGGTCTTAGGCTGTCATGTCAAAGAGTTGTTTAAGGTTTTGACTGCTCAAATTGAGTTTTCTATCAGATTTCTCTCTTGGGAATTGAATGTGGTGGAGTATCTCTGAAAATTTTTGTCAGTTTGTTACTTGTTGATGGCTGTAATAACAAAATGGAGTAAAATTGGATTTTGTGCTCATATGCATTAGTCCCAAGAGAGGCTTTTTGATTTGTGATCCCTTCTCTTTTGCTGCAGAACCCCTTTGTTCACTGTTGAAGTATGTCATCACATATTGTCACTTGTGCCCTACAGACACTTAAATGTAAACAGCTTTCTCTGAAGGTGCCAGTTTTCTCCTTCAGATGTGTCTGTCTGTCCATGTTATTTTATGTAAAGTACCTGCAAATGGGTATTCTTAACAAAGATTGCTGTTTCTTGACCTAGACCACTCCAAGGGCACCAGGCGTGGAATAGCTTCCTTTCCCTCCTTCTACCTGCAACTCAGAATTTGAACACCTCGACTTTGAGTTTTTCTGAATTGGTGGCTTTCATTTTTTAGTAAAATATCTTTATTTTGAGGTTCAGCAAAATGCAGTTCCTGCCTTTCATGTTTTTTCCGAAATCTGAAAGCCCAAACCTGGGTGCCTGCACAGCTGTGGTACCCCATGTCAGGCCTTGGTGAGGCTCTACTTGCTGAGAACTGGAGACCTCCCAGGAGTCTGGAACCTCATTAGATGGGAACAAGTAGGGGAGTTGATAATGTGTGTGCAAGGAAGTGCCATCATAGGTGATTTGTGTGTTCTTAATGCTCTCAATAACCACTTGGTGCTGACAGACCTTACACTGCCCTCAGCACAACTGGGACCTCAGCAGTTGACACCCATTTGCTCCTAGGACATTGTTCAGCTCCCCTGAGGAGTTTTGCTCCTAATGGAAGGTAAACTCAGTTTTGGGACTTCAAAAACACTGTACAGTGTTAGGCACTGGTTTGTTTGGTGTGTGGATATGTAACAATAGCCCTGCTCTAGGAAGATGCTACCAGTCTTGGCTCTGCTGTGTTCCTTGCCATGAGAAAGAAAAGAAAGGAACAGATCTGCAGTTGGTGATTTGGAAACTAGAAAATCTGTCCCTACTGTGGAGTCCATAAAAGGCACTTCAAGAAGGAAAAAGTGCTTTGTCAGGTTTAAATTCTTTTACGTAACCTCATTGTTAGAAAATTCTGCCTACTCAAAGTTACAGTATGTCCTGTTACTGAATAAATGACTTAAAGCATGAATTCTTTACAGGAATGCATGTAGAGAAAAAAGGGGCTTTGTCCTTACTCGTGTCAGTGATGAGATCTGAATCGTGCATGGATGGGGTTGGCAAACTTGCTTTGACAGCTTAAACATCTCAGACATCTGGTTGTTACTGGTACCTGTTCACAGGTGAACCTCTGGGCTGTGGTGTAGTCATTGTCAGGTTGATCCTTTGGGGGATTTTCCTGTTTCCTCTGAATTCTGGCTGCCCTTTTGCCAGGCAGTGGGATGTGCATGGTGATCTGCAAACACAGGGCTTCTCCTGGCAGCGGGTGAAGATGGCATTAACACCCTCCTTGTTCTGCAGGATTGCTGATCGTCATTAGCTTATCCTGACAACACTGTTTGGTTCGTGGGGATGGCTGTGAGTCAGGATGATACGTGGTCTTTCAGCTCTTGAAAACATTGCTGGATATTCTCAGCAAATGATCTCACAGCTGTGGATGGTGAATACTGTCTGATTCACAGCACAAGACTGGGAATGCAATCTGCTTCCTGGGAATGCTGAGTTACCCTCTGACCTGGGGTGTGACACGAGTGTTCCAGGGCACAGGAAGCTCTTGCCTTGTCTGTCACCAAACCTTGGTGTGCTCAGGTGTAAGTTCCCTGTGCTTTCTGCATGGCTGAGGTGGTTTCACATCCCAGCTCTGTGTTTGGGGTTTCTAAGATCCTTCACTGCTTGTGGGTCATCTCGTCCCAGGGAAGAGGATAATTCTTCCAGGCTTAGGAGGGAGGCCTAGAACAACTCCATGGTAGAAGGTTGAAACCTCCTTGTCTCCAGTGTCTTGTGAACATTTCTCCTGTTCCTGTAAGTGGTATTTGGTGTCACCTGAGCTAGAAATTAATCTCTTCTGATGCTTAATCACAATGTCACTCTTCAAGAACAGGGAAGGTGTCACTGCCCAGGATGTCAGGAGGCTTTTTGTGCCTTTTTTGATTTCCCTGAGGTGGGACACAGGTGCAGGTGCCTTCATAGGGCCTGCATGGACAGCTTTAGGAAACACATGGGGTCCTCCTGTGCACCCCTGATGGGAGTCTCCATGAGTGTGGTCCTTGCAGGTTGGCTGGGGGAGTCCAGAGGATGGCAGCAGGTGGCACACTCTGCAGGTGGTACTAGTGCAGGATGGGGGAATGGGCAAGTTTGAAAGCCATATACCTAAATACAAGGTCCTGGTTGTGGTTGTAATGAATAATTGCACTTTGTTCTTTAGGGGATAATTTTATAAATTGGCCTGAGTTACACTGGCAAGGGGAGAGGAAAAAGGACACTTTAAGTGTGGAAGGTTTGCAAGTTTGCATCTCCATGGCATCAGTTTTGATGTTTTGATCTGTCCCAAAATCTGAGGATAAATTTCCAAGGATTTTTTTAATCTCATCTTCTCAAATTTAATCACAACTCATAAAATACATTTCAGAGTGCTCAGAGGTCTTGCAGACCCTCTGAACTTTTCTGTCAATGGAACAGAAGTGTTTCAAAACCTAACGTGTTTGTGTCAATTATTGACAAAAAAAATACATCCAGTGTATGATGGAGTACCTTGACCTCCCCCAGGACTGTGTTACAGGGGGCTCAAATATCTTACAGAAATGTGTTAACCTGAGTGTCATAAAAGATAAAACATATTCTTGGCAAAAAATCTCCTTAAAATTGAGTCTCACAAAGCCAAAGAGAGACCCCAACGGACAGGAAACACCGTTTTGTTCAGCAGGAGCCCAGATGATGCCTCGTGCTCTGTCACAGACTGCTGGGCTCAAGGTGGCCGTGGGGTTGTGAAGTGTTAATTCATGACAGTGAGCTGAGCTGATGGGAGCAGGGGAAGCTAGGAGGCCTGGGGAAGCTTGTCTGATTTGTATGGATTTTTTTGTGTTGTAATTTTGGGTTTCTCTGAGGTGGTGCAAGAGTGGTAGGCAATCAGGACAGCTGGAAAAGGGCTTGTTTCTGTGACTTCTCAGCCTGTGCTGCAACAATCTGTTTGCATTTCAGAAGGTCTGTTAGGGCCCTGGTGTTCCCAAAGAGATTATGAAGTATTCTCATCTTATTTCTCACCTACTGTGTAACCATGGGGAAAAGTGTTCTGTCTGATCTGATGATGTGATGTCTGATCTTCCTAGTGATGGAAGTCCTCAGAAGAGCAAATTCTGTTAGCAGGAAGTCTTACAAGAGTAAACTCAGCTTAAAAACAAACAAGCAAACAAAAACAGCATCAAAAACCCAAACCACCACAAAACCTCTTTACTTATTCCTGCGAGAGAAGTTAGTCCTGTTGCAAATGGGAGGTCATGCATGTACTGTGGTGTCTTACCAAGGAGTATCTTCTGGTTTTGGTAATTCCTTCTGGACAAAACCTGCTCCTTTCTAGTCTTGCAGCTCTTGAGGTAAATAAGTGCCCAGAAAAAGGCACCAGTGAGTTGCCTGATTGGACAAAAGGCACCTTTGAGAGTCCTGTGTGGAAGTCAGGGGTTTGTTTAATGTCTGTCTTTTGGGGCTGCTGTAAAGCAATAAACAGGGCAGGTGAGTAGAAGAGAACAGTTTGGTTACAGAGGTAGGCACGGATGGCTCCCCTTCTTTTTCTCTTTGAACTTCTGATGCATCTTCAGAGTGAGAGGACCAGGGAAAATGTCACCTGCTGGCCTTCAGATTTCTACATCTTGGACTTCCTTTTGCCTGAAGAGATCCCCTTGATCCTGTAAGCTCTGCGATGTGCCTTGTTATTGCTTCAGTGCAGGGTGCTCGATGCCATTTCTTCTCCTAAGTATGTTCTCTAGGACTCTTTTCCTTGGTTTTAGTCTCTTTCAGGTTCTACTCAGAATTATTTAATTAGAGGTGCCCAAGAGGCATGTTGTTCTTCAGACAAGAAGGAAGTTGCCTTAGGTATCCACTGAACTTTTGAGGTGCTTGTGATGCTAGAACAGACATTTTGATGGAAGTCAGCAAGCTGTCACCTTGGCTATTGGGTCTCACTGACCAAGATACTTAATACTATACTCCAAAATGTCAGTGTACTTGTCTTGTCTAGTCTGCTGTGCTACTTGCCTTGCAGCCTTAGCTTTTACAATCTTCCTCACTCTTTTTCCATGTCCAGGAGTTGGTCAGGAGGAGTTGCTACCTATAGTTAGGAGAAGAAAACTGACTTGACCTAAATAATCAATGGAATCTCAGGTGAAGCCATTTCTGTATCTCATGATTTTTATGAATTTTAGGTAGTGATCCTGAGTTCTTACATCTCACTCTCGGTTGAAACACTGTTGTTTCAGTGGTGTGTGTTTTAAAACTGCTCTTCCTTGTATGTGCAGAGCTGCTTTATACCACTTCTGTGTGCCTCCTTACACAGCACACTTGGAGGACAGGCTGTGGTTCCTCTAACAACCTTTTCTCTTGGAGAAACTAAGAAAAATGACCTGACCCCTATCTCTGCCAAACTGAACGGTTCCTCTTCCCCTTTCTCTTCAAAGTGGCAGTGTTTCTGAAAGCATAGGGCTCTGGGGAATGCATGTGCATCCACTGTTCCTTTCTGAAGGGAAAAAACCCTCACCAAACCAAACAAGAGCACTGGAGGTTTTAGCCTTTCAGTCAGGGCTAGGACTGAGCTGAGCAGTGTCTGATCACAAACACTCCCCACGGACTGCCAGAGCTGCTGCTGCTGAACCAGACTGACTTGTGAAAGTATTTAAAGCTTGGACTTGGTCTTTGTTCTCTTTGTAGATGCTCCTCTACACATAGCCCTAAGGAGTACCCCATATAGAGATGAAAAAATAGAAAAGAGAAGAACTTCAGCCGCTGTAAGTGCATTAAATAGTCACCGGCACTCTCTTAGAGACCAAAGCAGGAGCCACATAGCGAGAGCGCTGCGGAGGCCTCGGGACAGAGTCGGACATGGTACGGCTGCGGGGTCACCTCAAATTACACTGGGAAAAGGCTGGGAAAACTGGCAGGCATTGTAAGGAATTGGTAATGCTGATGGCATTGTTGTGTATACCTGAGAGAGTATACTCTAGAGAGTAATTTCCTATAAATGTAAGGTATGAAACATAAGCAGTGTTTTCTCACCTGGTAACTTTTCTTGCTGTCTTCGTTGGGCCTTGTTCCTCCCAGTCAGTGGGTGGTATCTTTAAGATGTAAAAAGTACTTGAAGTATTAAAGGGCATGATTTTTACTGTTTGATGCGTGGGTCTTAATGCTGTTGAACTCTTGACTGTCCAAAGCATTAAATATTTTAAGTAATCCTATACTTAAAAGGGGTGGATGGGGGGGGCATGAGGCACAATGACTTGAAGGGGTTTATTTTGTTGGGGGTGTTTCTTTTAATAGCATTTGACTACTGGTAGTCAACACTTGCTACTTAAACATCTCTGAAGAACTTCAGGACTTGGACTATTGAGTGGTAGAGTCAAGGCTGTTCATACTGAAACCTGCTCTAGTAGAGGTGGGTGACAGGTGACAGCCATACAGTGGAGGGGGGGATGTGTGTGCACACACATGGGCAGAAACAATGCATATGGTAAAATACTTTACATAAATAATATATAAACAATTTCCAGTGTACCTCTAGATTGACTGCATTGCCACTTTCCTTCAGATCCACAGTGAGAATGTGAGTCACAGGGAGGAGGAAAACACAAGCTCTGAGCTTAGACTGTTCTGTGTATAACAGATGATCTGTGTCCTGGAGCTCTTCACTTCAGCTGCCTGGCTGTTGTTCTGTTGAGAGCAGTGAGGCAATGCCTGGCACCTCTGTCTGTGCTTGGGCATCCTTTTGCTGCCCACCCTGGTAGGAAGGCCTGAATGAGACCCATCAGTCTCCTCAGTGCTCTGACTCAGTGGGACATGTCTTACTTGGGAGCGTGGTATTTAAACTTTCACATGGTGGAGGATGATGAGTACTCATCCTGGTTCTCCTGAACCTCTGCCTTTCAAGAAAGTTGAAGTCCTAGGTTTTTGCAAAAAAAACCCAAATCTTTTAAAAATGTAGTTCTTTTGTGCTTCATTTTTATGATTATATAAGTCAGTTTATCATTCTGGTTGACCACACAATTCTGTGAGGATGCTCCTAACCTAGACAGTCTCCCTGTCTGGTCTTGGGTCGGTCAGAATTCATTGCACTTTAGAGTGCTCGTGAGAAACAGTGGGAGACAAGAGGATTCTTCAGTACATGGTTTTTGGAAGACCCTGGTGTAACACTTCAATACTTGTTCTTTGCAGATTTTTTTTTCAGGGAGCATACATTAACTGTGATGTGCAGTCAGAAGATAGCTGTACACAGAAATTTGCAAATACTTAGATTTTTTCAGATTTTAAGAAATACAGGTTAGCTCAAGGGGGAGAAGTGTGGAACAAAGTGACAATTTCTGTCAGATTTATGATGGATACATTAATAGTGACTGAGACACTCTGTGCTCTTGGGTATCTTAGACCAAATCCAGCGATCTGACCCTGTGAATTTCAGTTCCCAAACAAAAGGAAGCAGAATTTTCCTGCTTCTGTTGAGCTCAGTTATTCTCTTTGCCCTTCTGGAGGAATAAAATGGCAGAACTTCCTTGCATCCCTGTGAGCAGGGAGAAGGGAATGGTACCCGGAGGATCTTGAGCGTCAGAAGAACGGGAGATACGAGGGCAGAGGAAAGTAAGAAGGAAGTTGTGCTGACACTTGAATAACCCCCTCAACACCCATGGAAGGGGGATGAAGATGGCTTTTGTGCTGCCAGTCCTGCTGCCTTTGCAGGACAGGTGACAGGGTGCCCATCTGCCATGGGGCAGCAGCTGATGTGGCCCTGAGCCATCGCTGACCGCGTGCCAGGAGAGGCACAGCGGGGCAAAGCAGCAGGAGATGTTCAAGGCCTAAGAGGATGGGGAGATGTGGGGCTAAAGACTCTGCTGAGCATGTCTCCTGCACCACAGTTGATAAACATGACTGAGATGTGCAGTTTCTCAGCTGTTTGTGCCACAAACACGCAGCCAGTGAATTGGGTAGTTTGCTGTTGGTGTTTGTGAGAGAGGGTGATACAATACACGGGTACTGCTGGTTTGCTTCCTAAGTGGTTACAGAGCAGCTGAAATGATTTGGGCAGGAGACTTCTTACAGTATAAAGTGTCTTTAGGTGCTTATTCTGCTATCCATCACCAGAACTGAAATAGGTTTGTGAGTAGGAGGGTGAGTGGCTCAACCAGGCTCTCTGAGAGCAGAGCAGTTCTGAGGTGCCAGGCATCCCTCTGTAGCAGGTGTTGATGGCACCAGAGCTGAGTCAGGATAATTTACTGAAGGAACTGTGTAAGTATCTGGAAAATTCTGCTGCAGAGATCTAAATCTGAAGGCCAGAAGTTGAGGACAAACCCTGGGATGTGGAATGCAAGGCCTTGTGCCCAGGCCCAGGTGGGCTCCGCTGCTGTGATGGGCTCTGGTACCACCCTTTGAGGGTGGACGGGATTGGCACTCAAACATCGTGCTGTGGGTTCAATCCCACAAAATAGCCTGGAGAACAGATGTTGAGAGAGTAGTAGTTAAAGCCAGTGAACCAGTTGTTATTCAGTTTTCAGTGAAAATATTTGAGGAACTGGAGTTTGGGGGGTTTGGGTTTTCTTCTTGTCAGGCTGCTGTTACAATGCTCCTGAAATGTTCATAATCATTTAGAAGGTGGATATAACAAATCCTTCAGTCTCTCTTCTTTTTAAAACTTCTGAAGCATGTAAATAATAAATCGGCACTTGTGTACAGTTGATTTCTCCCACAGGAGATTCTAATTTTTTTTATGGGACAATCAAATTAGAACTTTAAAATACACCGTTCCAGTTAAGAGCTGGAAATTCTTACAAATAAATTTTCTTGGGTTTTTTTGCAGTGAAATGGCCTTGATTGTCCAAAGAAATTGTGGAGGTCTTTAAGGAAATAATAGAATAAATGTATATATATTTAAAAATTAAATTGCAATATTGTCTAATTTTAGGTGTTAAAGAACACGAGAAGAACAAAGAAAGAAAATCCAAAGACTATGGAAGATCCAAGTCAAAGAAAAAGAAAAAAAAGAAAAAGAGATCTAAGCCTGGTAAAGCTCACTTTCCTTCTGTAGATGAGAATGGCTCTATTATTTTGTTTTGTTACCCAGTTTAGCTCACTTCAGAGCAGGCATTGCAGTTCAGACTGCTTTCTTCACTAATCTGTTAGCTCTGATTTTATTAACTGAGTAATTTTAAACTGTGGTTGGCAAGATCTGTCGACATCGAAGTCTGTGGATTAGGGAATGTGTGTAGCCTGTGTGAGAGCAGTGGGATGTGAGGGGGTGTCTCCAGCCAGCAGTGCTTGTGTGGAAGCAAAAGCAGTTGTACCCCTGCTCCCTGAGGAATGGTTGGGCTGGAAAGGTGGGCCACTTAAGCCTTTCTTCTGCCAGCAGTGAACAGTGACTGAACAGCATAAAATCCTGTTTCAGACAAGAACTTCCTTGCCTCCAGGAGGCTTGCACAGCTTCCTGCAGCACTGGGTAGTCCTGGAGCCCCAGCGTGTCGAGGGGGGACGGGCTCAGTGAATTGATGTGCCTGCTGTGGGCAATGCATGCTGCTGTTTCTTCTGTCAGCTTTTCTTGACCCCAGATTTCTACTGTTAACACTTTTCACAATTTTACAGGGTATTCTGGCGTTGGGGAAAACACAGATGTCTCACAGGAGCTTTCTCCTGAAAAATCAGTGGTCACAAAATCTCTTTCTTCCAATAAGTCATCTGCCCACCCGAGCACACCGCTGCACTGTGCTGATTCTGGACAGCACAGGGGGAAATCAAAAGCAAATGGTGAGATGCCTCTGCTCTCTGTCTTGCTGGTTCTGTCTTTGGTTGCTAGTAAATATGTGAGCTGCACTAACATACTTGAGAACCAGTTCTTATGGTGTGAATTTGGCTGTTCTTACACAGCACTGTGTGTGTTTCCCTGGACCCACTTGGTTTGCCAGATGATGTTGCTGCTTTTTGCTTTGACTTTACCTTCAGATACACGTTGAGACTGTTGCCCTTATTTTAGTAATCAGATTAATTTTGCATTTTTTTGCAGCACCTTATTAACTCTAAAATAACCGTGTTCAAACTTCATAATTACACTTTTCATATTTCTAAAGGTTTCTCCAAAGTGAGAGCTCTTTGAGAGTTAAAAACAGGTGCTTTGCAAATTTGCTCCAGAATGTGCTGTGTTTGAGAGACCACTGGGTGTGGTGAGGTGTGGTTGTGCAGATACTCTATGATACATGGTTATAATGACTCTGAGCTTCATAATGAGGAGCTCTTGGGGAGCTGTTTGTTGAGCAGGTGTTTATTGGTGTCTTCCCAGTACTTCATCCACAGAACTCATAAAAATGTGACTGCTGTGTTCCAGCTTTCATAGTTCCCAATATCTTGGTCCAAATTACTGTTTACTGTCACTAAAAAAGACAGCAAACATTTTGTTCTCTCTCTTGTCCTTAAAGCTGACAAATGAGAGGAAATAGGAAGTGTATGACAGCTTGATTATGTACAAGAATCTTAAAGTCTTATTGATTGTACAGCTGCCCTGTGGAGGACTCTTTGATTATTTTTTTGGGCACAACTCTCATTTTTTGGCATTAGGCAAAACTAAAAATTACCTTCAGTTAATTCCACTACATAAGGAACACAGGAAACATTAAAAACTACTGCAGTGCTTTGGTGGTAATGCCTTGAAAGATGTTCTGCCAGTGTGAGCAGTTGTGTGTTCAGAGTATATCAACCACAGAACATGCAGTAATTTGGCCATCAGTTCCTCAGACCTCTTCTGATCAATCCACAGACATTGAAAGTGGTGGAAAATATTGGAAATGGTTTTATTTCGTCCTTATCACGATTGCTTTGCTGCCTTTTCCATCTGCAGAAGTTGCACCACCAATAAAAGCAGTGCCCAGATAAACAAAGTGGTGTCAGTGAAAGTGCAGTTGGGGTGTAAGTGCCTGGCCTGCCACTTCAGAGTACTCGGCACTGTCCGAGCTCAGAGGGGGGAATGAAACTCCTGAACTATTGCATTGGGTTCTCAACCCCTTTAACTTGAGAACAACTGTTTCTCCAAAAGTTGTGGTTTGTATCACACCCTGGTGGTTCTAGTGTTGCATTCTGTGATTCTCTGAGCTAAGTGAGGAAAATAGTGAGACCCACTGTAGGTGAGACCCCACAATCTTAATTAAGAGTGACTGAAGTTTTCATCTTCCACTCCCCTCCAACTCATTAGATTATTTCCAGATAATTAAAATCCTTGTCTTCTTCCTCCAACCCTCCCATTCTATCCCCAAGGAAGATGCAGACATTGATTAATGTTATTGAGGTAAGAATCTCAATTTAACCTGCTGTTTCAGTAAAGATTTTCTTGGCAGTTTTATTCAATCCAGAGATGCATCAATGCTTTGGCTAAGTAGTGTGAATGTGTTCTGGGAGAACACCTTGGGCTGTGCACTGCCCATGAGTTGATCAATGGATCCTGAACAGGAGACTAAATGAAAATAATAATTCCTGAAGCAGGATTAAATTCTGTGTTGGACTCAGCGTTTCTGTCATGAAGACATCACTGTGTGAGATTGAATGGCTCATAAACCAGAACCCTCTTGCCTCTTTTTGGGAGCTCCACACTAAAAGTGCCAAGTCACAATTCTGTACAAATTGCAGCAATTTGGTATGAATCCTATTTGAATGTGCAAGTCTGGTTTTGTTTATTATACTTACTTGTCTAAGGAGATTTTGTGCCTTTGCTTTGAGACTCTGTGTGCTGAGATTACCATTTTAATGACAGAAACTGTTAAGTTGGACTATTTTTAAGGAGCTATTAATGAAAACATGAAACTTCATGATGTAGTAACCTTCAATAAACTGTTAAATTCTGATGTTCCTTAAATGACACTGTGAAGTCATACTTCTAGGAATGTATGTCTGCATACTTGGGATGAGATCTTGAGGGTCGTTTGACCTTTTTTGTAATCACTTAGGATTTTATATAAATCCTTCTTGTACAGAGGATGACACCCTGAGTGAGTCATCTATGGACAGCTTACTTTGGAGTGACGATGACTGCAGTCAGGATGTTGATGTAACCACCAACCCTGATGAAGAAGTTGAAGAAAGTGATTTTGAGATTGTTCGCTGTGTTTGTGAAGTAAAAGAAGAAAATGACTTCATGATCCAGGTATGAATTGGAGGGTAAATGCTCGTGTCAGTGGATACAGGGGAAAGTGTCAGTGGAAAAGCATTTGCTGGGTTGTTTTTTTTTTTTTCTTCCTGGCAAGAAGCTTGACTTGAACATACAATTCTCCAGATAGGCTGAACAAACCGAAAAAAGGTAATTACTGGAGTGTTTTGCTGTGAAGCAGAGCTGCACTTGTCCATTCTGCAGTAGTGTGCACATTCTTAGTTCCTAATCTTCATGAGGCCATCTGTCCATTCCACATATAGGTGCTATTTTTAAACCAGCTTCCCAGAAAACTCAGAGCAGCTTCTGTTACATCTTCTGCTTAAAACTCTTGGCAAAAACCTGTTTGGAAGTGTTTATTTTGACTTTTTGTTTACTTTTTACTGTTTACTTTTTGAGATGTTTTAAATTGTCAGGGAATCATTCCATACACAGCTGCTTTGAACCATCACACCCAGTTCCTCTCAGTTTCAAACAGTGAAGTCAAACAGATCAGTTCAACTTCATTTTTTTTTTTCTCTAATTAATTTTACCATTGCTTTTTACATGAGCTGGTCCACACTGCTCATTCCCCATAAGTTTCAGAAGGAGCATGTGCAGGAGCTGAAGTGTGTGATGCTCTTGAACCAAGATGGCAAGCTTTTGTACTTGCCCTTTAGAAGAAGTGAGTCTTCTGAAGTAGTTAGTTGGTTTTGGGTGGTTGGTTTTTGTTTTTTTTTTTAAGAGTCTCCCACTCTTCCTATCTAGATGACCTTTTTCTTGTTGTGGGCCTCCAGTTCAGAGTGTCAGTAGTGTAACCTTTAAGGTAATTACTGCATTCTCCTGAGGTTGATTTGGGAAAGGATATGGCATGACACTAACTTCAGAAATATTCTTCTGGCACGTGAACCTCACTCCTCATCTGCAGCTTTTGAAGTCACTTTCCCAGGCATTGGTGCTAATTTTTGTGAGGCTTGAAATCCACTTTAGAGGAGCCCGTTGTGGTGCAGTTCCTGGCCTGTTCCTGTGAACTGCATTCCTCTTTGGCAGGTTGGAACTAGGAGGCAAGACAGGAGCTGAGCTAAACTTGCTTCAGAACCACTGCTGATGTTTGGGTGGCCTTTGCTTGAATGGAGGCAGAAACCTGTCCAGGTGAAGAGGGGGAGCACTGTTTAAACTGCAGTGGGAGGAATTCTTGACTTCTGCAGCAGAACAGTAGAAACACCTTTTTTGCCCTGAACACCAACAGCCTAATTTAAAAAAATGTTAATAGTGCTGGCTACTGCAGCTCGGTTTGTGTGTCCTTAACAGTGGAGTGGAACAGCTGACTCGAGTGGGCAGTTTTCATGCAGGTTTGCTGTGGAAGGTGTGACACTCTTAGTGGTGAATTCCCTTGGATGCACACCTGTGGATCCTGACATGCAGGGCAAAAGGTTCCTTGTGCATGGGGAGGGGAGGGTGCAGTGATGGGCAGATTGAAGTAAATACCATCTGAGTGTACAGGAGAGCAGGAGTCTGACAGTGGGGAATAAAGGGGGTGGATGTTTTCTGAGATGATGACTTTAAAACACAGATAGTCTGGACTATAATTTCCTGGCAAAAATTAGTTCACCACTAGGTCAGGGTCACAGAATGTTGGGAGCTGTCAGCTGGGACAGCCTATGGAATGTTCTGTGGGCTGCTTCTAAGATCGGCTTTCTAGGTTGAACAGTTTGGGGGGTTTTTTTGAGCATCTTACAAAGTTTTAAACACTTCATCTGTTTTATGAAAGAATTGGCTGGGAGAGCAAGTTTTTCTCTCTGGAAAAGAGATTCAGATGGGCAGCGTGGTGAGTACCTGCATTCACTGTGGGGATTGAGGCAATAGGAATGGGGAAGCAAGGAGCTGGTCACAGGATTTTGTGGGGCTGAGATGGGGATGTAGGGTTAGGTGGTTTGCTTAAGGAACCAAATGCTGTGCTCCCTTCAGCTCCCTGTCAGCCTGTATTTTGGGGGAAAATGTTTTGAACAGTCTGGTTGTTGGTGAGAAATGCCCGAGTTTACTCGTTAGGAACAGAGCATTAATACAAAGCAAAGCTGCTGTGTTATACAACTGTGGAATTCTCACAAGGGGAACCTATTTTCAGCTTTTCAGAGGTGGAGTGCCAAGACTGACACTTCCCTTTGGCTTTCTAGAGCGATAATCCGGTGTAGTTGTCATAACTTTATAATTAGGAAAGATTTCTTCCCTGTTTTCCGCTCACACTTCAACCTGACGCTTGGAAAATGAATTCAGAGCTGTCTGCCCTAAGCAACTTGGATTTAGATTGGTCCTTTCTTTCTGAAGATGGGTCATTTTGCTCAGGGCATGGGGTTTCAGAAGAATACTGACCTTCTTTGCACTTTTCTCCCTTGGGGTGTTTATTTTTCCTCTGCTTTATTATTCTGACTGACATTTCTGGCACCTGGGGCACCTGCTTGAGCAGGCTGTGTGCCCATCTGCCTGATTTGGGATCAGAATTGGAGCCAGGACAGCTCCTTCATGCATCCCAGGATAAGTGGATCCCCTCCTCTCTTACAAGAGGGGGAATGGAAAGGCTTTTTGTCTTTGAGCTGTGCTCATTTCCATGAATGTGCCAAATTTAGAAGTAACGGGGGAAAATGTTAATTTTAAACACGAGCAGCACCTTTATTTTTCCTGAAAGATTAGGAACAATTAAGATTTAATGAAACTCACATTTAAAATGGGGGTGGGTTCCATTTAGGTATTCAAACTAATAACACCCCCCCAAATTCAGCTTGGAGGTTTTATATAAACTTCTTTTATCCTGAACTTGCCTTAATTAATTATCTTGAGCAATCTGTGCATTAAGAATGTCATTTATTGCACCAGGGTGCAGAACTCTGGGTTTGCATTTGTGGAAGTGCCTGCTCAGGTAGTAGAAGTTAAATCAAGAAAAAGTATAAACCCCCCCAACATCTTGTTGGTCAGTGCTCCTGGTACTCTGGGGGGAGGTTACTGATGCCATCTCTGGAGCCTGTGGAAAGCACTGCCCTGTGTTCCCTCTGGAGGCACAGGACTCCCTCTTCATGGAATGCCCCAAAACAGTCCAGGCAGGTTGTCATTGTCCCTTCTTCTCGGTTTTTATACCCAAACATTGGTGTGTTTGTGTGTGGGGCAGAGAATCCTGGGGATGGATTTGGTGATGGATGCAAACAGCCTTTGGACGTTCTTGTTCTGGGATGTGAAAAGCTGCTTTAAAAACACGCCCTTTGTGTTCAGTTATTTCTGTTGTTACTTGAGTTTCAATTGGAATATTTTGGCACAGCACTGCATGGTTTTTTTCTCTTCCAAATTTCCTACTTGGTGTGCTTTGAATGTCCCTGCTACTGCCTGGGCAGGGCTGGCTTCCCTGCAGCGGGTGTGCCAGCAGGGGCCTGGCCAGCCGTGCTGTGCAGGAGAACCTGCAGGTACATGGAGACACCTGTGCCCTGCTGGGGTACAGACTAAAAATATCAGTTGAGTAACAAAAAAAAAAGTTGGGATGCTGTGCTGGAGTTCTGGGCAAAATTGCCTGGAAAATCACTGAGCACAGCCCTGTGCAGTGTGGCATGATTTATAGGATGCAGGTGTAACTAGAACCAGGAGCTCCCTTCTTGTTTTTAGCACACAGTCTGTTTTTCTTAATTCATTGTCTTTGTTTTAGAACACCTTTTTCTGGCTCTAATAATCACCTTTGTGAAAGAAGAATGGTGTCTCTGCCTTTTTTGAAAACATCTCCCTGTTGCTTTAGGACTATTTACCCATTTTGTAAGGCAAAACATTGTTAGTCTCATCCTTCAGAAACCTGTTTCTCTACAACCTTTTAAATTCTCTTCTCCCAGGGCTTCTATTTCCTCCATCCCCAGGCCTCTCATTTAATGCAGTGAAAGTATTCAGAACCTGGCTGGCTGTGTCCCTCCTAGCTGGAGGAGTGGCAGCAGATAACAAGAGCATTAATAAAACTTGTTTAGCAAGTTGGCATCTTTGTAGGTCAGTGAGGAGCAGCAGCTGGGATTGCTTGTGGGGTGTGTTTTTAGCTCATACTGAAATCCTGCACCAACATTAATGAGACCCTTTTGGCTCATGCTCTGAGAAATAAATCTCACTGCTTGGGAAAACAGTAATTCTGAACTGACATCACAGTTTCAAATCAAAATTGACTCAATATGTGGGGTTTTGTGCCACGTTTCAGTGCTCTGTAGGCTGCAGTCGAATTTTGTTTCCTGTCAAAATATGGGGGGGGGGAGAAAATGGCAGAAACAGAACATGTGAATGTAGGGGTTTTTCCTGCTCTAGAACTGTTTGAGAGCAGTGATTGTATTTTCAGTAGTGTAACTGTGCTAAAAAATCCAAACTGTATTCAGTCTTGGCCATTGTGATGCCCCCCCTTGGCAGGGTGTCAGAAGCTTTTGAAGCTGGTACAGCTGGATCTGCACTGCAGGTTTGTGCTGGTAGAGATAAAATGTTAGAGCTACAAGAATCAGCAAAGCATAATATTGGCTAGTCCTGTGTGACATGAGTGTCTCTGGGATTTAGTAACTGAATGTGGTTTACTATTTGAGAGGGAAGCTTTTTAATTCAGAAGAATGGATCTGTTTTGCTGAAAAAAGCTTGATTGCAATACTGATTGCTGTCCTGGTTATGTGCACATGCATCCTATGAAAGATTTTCATCTCCAAAGGGAACATTTTTGTACCCTTCAGAGTACCTGCTCTCAGATTTTAATTGTCATTCTCCAGAAATACACATAAAAATGTGTGGGAAAGGCTCAGCTTTTATTGTAGTCTGATTCTTTAATGGGTTTGCTTGGAAGGGGGGGGTGAGTGGGTCTTAACCCATCTTTCTGTCTTAAAATACATAGATGCTGTGTCTCTTAACTGATGTGTTGAGCTCCTTGCCTTGGTTTGTGTTAATGTGCCCCTCTTTCCTCTGAGCAGTGTGAGGAGTGTCTGTGCTGGCAGCACGGGGTCTGCATGGGTCTGCTGGAAGATAATGTCCCTGAGAAGTACACCTGCTATATCTGCCAGGATCCCCCAGGTACGGAAATGTAGGGTTGCAGAACCTTCTTACATGTGTAGTACACTTGCTAGTTTATATATATATATATATATAGCTCAAAGATTAAACTATTTTTTTGCCCTTAGCTGTGTCTGTCACTGTAAGTAATTTTCAGTCACAGATACAGAAAGTTTAATTCCTGTCGATGTCCACGAGTCAATATTGTGGAATTACAGCTGGGCAGGGATGGGAATGAATGTTTTCACTGGGATGACCATCTGCCACACTGTGCTAAGGACTCTACTGTCTGGCTGTGGGAAACGATGGATTTTTAAATGTCTTGGTCCACAGCAGTAAAATTACACTCAGGTGAATATTTTCTGACTTCCTATTCTATGGATTACAAGCCTTGATGAAAATGGAAACAGATGAAGTTCTTGCTTGAGTCCATGTTTCTAAATGGCAAGAAAATGGATCTCTGGTGGCCTGATGAAAAGATCTTTTTGGTTTATATGCATAGTTGAATTGTGATCTCAGATTTTTTTGGCTGTTGGAAGCTGCCAACTCTTTTGTACCTCAAAATCCTGGATTTGTGCAGTTGATGTTTGTACTCACAGCAAGAAAGACATGCCACAACTAAATTTTAAACTATTTCACTACACAGATAACAGTACATTTAAGAGGGGTTTTTTTTACAATATCTTGCTTCTAGGATTTTACCCCTCTGTTTTCAAGATATTTTGCTTTATGTCAACTGAAGTTAGTTTGAAATGTAACTAAAATGCACATGCAAACTGTCATCACACTTGGACATCAGAATGCTCTTGTGCCAAAACTGATTACAGGTTAATTTGCTAATGAATCATTAACTATTCCTTTGAAGGTTCTACAGTTTACAGTAGGGGAGCCTAATTTTTGCCTCTGTTTTCAACAAGGAAAACCTCCAACTTTTTGACTGCAGTGGTGGCTTTTTGATTTCAATGACTCTGCTTGTGGCTGGAAATGAGCTCACAGGCTCTGTGGATCTACAAAGAAGTGGCTTTTAAAACTGGGCAGGGCCATTCAGCAAAATCTTATTTAGGACCTTTCCCCAGTTGAAACTGCTGAGATGTGTTACAGCACCATTTATTCTTCAGGAAATAAAAGCAAATTCGGTGTAATTTTGTCTAAAAACTGTATGAACTGCTATTCTACTCAATTCTCTTTGAGTCAAGTGGGATTTTTAAGACATTTGTTAACATTTGCCCCTGCTTAATCATGATCAAGATGCTTATGATGTGACTGTTTGTGTGATTGCAGTTCAGCAAGCATCTACAGTCCTACCCTTTCCTGATAATGCCATTTTTTTGGCAGCTTAAGTTACTTTTACTGATGCATTTATCACATTTAACGTTTCATTTCAGTTGTTGATACTCCAACCTCTCAAGCTAGAAATACCATCATTAATAACCTGACTTAGGCAAGTTTTCCATCAGAACCTCGTCATTGGTTCCTTTAAAATGTACTTTTGAATGCCTGTGCTGATCCATGTATGATGTTTAAAAATAAGACCACGGGGAAAGGAAGTTCATTGCCTTGTTCTGTGTTTTTCTGTCTGCAGAGACCTGCACTCAGATTGTAGTTTGTCATAACCATGGTTAGAGTAGACAGTGTGATTTCCTGCTAAAATATTCCTTTCTGTGCCTCAGCCTATTATTGGGTGTCCCTGCATGGGATTTGGGGTCTGACTGCTTTTACAGTTGGGCAGAGGTTTTTGAATCTTCATTTCTTCAGGGTTCTGTCTGCTTTGACAACTCTGTAGTGGTGCTGTTGGTGAGAACAAAGGAGCTTTTGCAATCCTTGGGGATGATCAGGATTACTGCCAGTCCTGTTAACACATCACAGTCAGTGCTTTGTTTTAACTCGCTCATTCCTGTCACTTCAGGTCAGAGGTCCAGCTTGAAGTACTGGTATGAGAAGGAGTGGCTAAGCAATGGTCACATGCATGGCTTAGCATTTCTGGAAGAAAATTATTCCCACCAGAACGCCAAGAAGATCGTGGCCACTCACCAGCTGCTGGGGGACGTGCAGAGGGTGATCGAGGTGCTGCACGGGCTGCAGCTGAAGATGAGCATATTGCAGTAAGCACATCCCAGTGCCAGCTGCCACCTTCTCGGGGGCAGTGGCACTGCAAGGAGAAAAACAACCCCAAATTCAGACCTACCTTTGTGCTGCTTTGTGGATTTGTAACACAGTTTGAATTGCTGATGGGATCGTCGCTCTTAAAGCTATTGAAGTGTGTTGTGTAAATTGACTGTGTGTATAAAAGGATGAGGAAAGAGGGGGAAAACTAAGAACAGCAGCTTCTCCTGAAGCACCTAAATAGATTTAAGTAAGAAGAGGAGGATAGGTGTATAACCTGTGGCAGCATTCTTACAGCACTTGCCTTCTCCATTCCAGTAAATCCAATCATAGCTTCTCCATCAGGAATCAGATGTTTTTATTGGGTGTGGTGTGTCGCTCTGCTGCAGGGGGAGAGCAGATGTACCTTCAGCAACCTGCAACAGTTCATTTCTGTGCAAAGGTCATACACTATTTATGAAGAAAATAATGTAATAATTTATATAAATTTTGATTTTCTTTCTATAAAATCAAGTTTTCTGCATCTTTTCCTGTTCAAAGTCATCCTTAGGTTGCGATGACTGAAAAAAATTTTTCCTAACTCGAATCCAGCAGTTTTAAATTGATTGAATTCCATTGTTATAATTTCTTAGTTGATAAATTGCACAGCAGCAGCTATTTGGAAAGCAAAGCTTTCAGTGCTTTCAGGGTTCATTTTCATCTTATCTGTGGTGATGCAGGAGGTCCAGTGGCAGGACTAGAAATGCTCAAACAGTGGAATATAATGCTTGAAGCAAGAGAGTAGCAATTTTCACATAAGGTTTTGCTTTTCCATGATGAGATCCTGTAGTCAGATCTGTAAGTAATCTCTTCCCTCTTTGGAGACTGGAACATAAATATAAGACCACTTCTTGGGCCTTTTGTTAAAGAGTGAGAGTTCAGATTCTGATTTTCCAGCTGTGAATTGAGGTTCATGTAGTGCTGAGATGTGGAGCACTGGGCAGGTCTGTGATGCTTGTGGCAGGTTTTGTTCCTGTTCTCTCCATGCTGAGGGCAGTGTGATGGCCTGGGTTAGTTAAAGGTGAGATGCAGTCCTCAATGGTATGTTGGTGGACCATACCTTACTAAAAATATCCCAGTTAAAATTAATTTTTGCTGTTGATACAAAGCAAAATGTTCCATTGAGGGCAGCATTGGTATGTGTCTATTTGCAACTTATTTTTCAATTTTTTTCTTAATACCAACATTTGGCCTATGTACCACGTTATAGAAATGAAAATGCTGAGCCTAACAGAACATTGTAGGAACAGTTGAGGTCACTGAAACTGTTATTTCAGAGTACTTGGGCGCTTTTTAGTGACTGTGATGACTTAGCATGTAGTGGTTCAAAGATTCTTACTTGATTTGATAGGATGGTTTGCTCAGCCACTTGAAATTTTTTTATGTTTGAACAGAAACAAAGAACATCCCGACCTAAAGCTTTGGTGTCACCCGTGGAAGCACATCACAGTGGATGAGAAAATCCACACCAAACACATCATTCACTTTGAGGAAAACTGTTGCAAAGAGGAGACGGCGAGTTACAGAACTTGGAACGGGACGGCTGAGAAGCCCTCAGCCATTCCCTCCGTGGAGGAATCTTACATCACCAGTGAACACTGTTACCAGAAACCTCGGGCCTACTACCCTGCCATAGAGCAGAGGCTGGTGGTGGAAACAAGGGGCTCAGCCATGGATGATGGAGTGAATAGAATAAGGGAGAATGGAGATGACGCCCTGTCAGAGAGATTTGGCTGGAATCTGGACCAAGAAATATGCAAGGTGGAAAATGAATCCAAACACAATTACTCCAAGGTATTTGTACTAACACAGACCTCTCTGCAAAGAGCATGTGTTTGCCTGGCAAAGTGCAAACCTCTACCTTTTTTGATAGTATTTGGTTTGTATTAAGTTTTTTCTTGTGCTGTTGAAGTTAAATTGCCAGTCAGAGATAAAATGATAGATGTGATCAACTCCTTCATTTCATATTATAATCAAAAACAATAGGTTGACTTCTGGACCTCAAGTCACTTGAAAGGTGTGGACCATGCATTGTGGTCCACTAACAATTCATTGCTGCTTGCTTTTATTTGTTAAATATAAAAATAAACACTAGGGTGCTTCTGTTAGTGGCAATTCATGTGAAATGTGGGCTGAGGAATGTGAGAAACCCTCTGGGAAATGGATGGACCCCCTTCTGCTCTGGAGCCAGGCTGGGAGGGCTGGGGGGTTCACCTGAGAAGAGAAGGATCCAGGAGACCTGAGAGCCCCTGCCAGGGCCTAAAGGGGCTCCAGGAGAGCTGGAGAGGGACTGGGGATAAGGGATGGAGGGACAGGACAAGGGAAAATGGCTTTAGCCTGCCAGAGGGCAGGGTTAGATGGATATTGGGAAGGAATTGTTCCGTGGGAGGGTGGGCAGGCCCTGGCACAGGTTGCCCAGAGAAGCTGTGGCTGCCCCATCCCTGGAAGTGTCCAAGGCCAGGCTGGACGGGGCTTGGAGCAACCTGGGCTGGTGGAAGGTGTCCCTGCAGAGGGTTGGACTGGATGACCTTTAAAGACCTCTTCCAAACTACTGTACAATCTTATGATTCTATGAAATACTGAGCTCCCTTTCTTAGGTTAAAGGTGTGGTGAACTTTTATTTCATATGTACTTCATATGAACTTTTACAGCATATGTAAGCTGTAATTCGTTATTTTTGACTCCTCTGCCAATCAAGATTGTGTTATCTTTGCCAGAAAAGAAAATATTTTACTTCTTCAGTCTAAAAGAACTTTTTTCTACATCCTGTCCTAATTTAGCAGAAGGATGAAAAAAGTGGAGAAGTAGAATCAACCCTGCTGACACTGTAGTCAACTTTTGTAAAGGGTGGAAATGCTTGTCTTGATGCTTCAGTGAAAGTTTTAGTAGAACTGAGATTAGATTCCTTAAGAAAAAAAACCCTTCTCACTGCAGAATTGTTTGCTCTTCAGCTGATTCCTGGCAGGTGAAAAACAGCCTCAGCATTCTCTGGGATGCCCAGATCCAGTGCAGAGTATCCCAGATGGAAGGTGGCAGGGCCATAACCACAGCTGTGTGTTACCTTCAGCACATCAGCTGCTTGTGAAGTGCAGAGAATGGTTCTTACAAAACACCTATCAAAGTATTTAGTCTGTGTTTGGATCCTCTTGCCCAAAGCAGTTTGGTATCAATGTCTGCTCTGTGTCTCTCCCCCTCTGGCCTGAGCTGAGCTCTCAGGGCAGAGCCTGGCAAGCCCCAGGCAGGTTGGCTCCCCAGTTGTGTTCCCTGTTCCAAATGCTCTCGTGTGCATCTCTGCTAGGGGAGAGAGGCCGTGGCCAAGAAAGGCTCTGCGGAGGAAGCAATGGAGATGAAGCTGATGGAGAAGGGCAAAGAAGGAGTGGTGAACTCGCAGCTGCAGTGGCAGCTCAATCTTCTAGCCCACGTGGAATCTCTGCAAGATGAAGTCATCCACAGAATGGATTTCATTGAGAAGGAGCTAGATGGTAAGTAGCACTTAAAAGAATATTTAACTAAACTGCCTGTTCAAAACATGTTAACCAGAATTTTACTTCTGCAGACCTGCAAAGAGATGAGTGTTTCTTTATCACATAGAAAACAGATACTCTGCTGATGTGGGGGGTGGATTTTCAAACAAAGAGCAGAATTTCACAGAGCAAGTTCTAGTTAGGTCATCTCTAAATAAATGCATCAGATGTGTCTTTTTGCTTTCAGGGTTTTGTCCTTTTCCAAACCTCTTCTGTGTATCTGCACTTCCCTGTTCCTTGGGGCCTTGCTGGTTGGTTGTGTCAGCCTGTTCTGGGTGGCTTCTTGGGGGCACAAGGCTCTTACCCTTTCCTGTCTCTTCCAAATTCTTCACTTAAAGGTCTTTGGACCTTTAAGTGGAAGACTTCTGAACCCTTTGTGTTGCATTCAACGATCCAGGATAGTTTTCTCTTTCCATTGTTGGCTCTCATGGTTGGTTGTGTAGTGGTTACAACAGCAGCTTTTCTTCCAGGGGGTTGGGAATACAATCTTTGCCCAAGAAACAGCCCTCTCTTTGTAAGTAAGGTGCTGAAAAGCTGAACAGCTGAAGGGATATTTGAGGTAGTGAAGATCAGTCAGGTCTGTAATCAGTGCCTGTTTCATAAATGAAGCAGCTCTGGTTCCCAAAAGTTGGACTTTTTGTATGTGCTGCTGAGCAGGGGGCTGTGCAAGGCATTTCTGCTCTGAGCAAACATCTCCTCAGTGCAGGGCTGGGTAAGGCCCCCCAGTTCTTCAGCAGGTACTGCCCCTGGGCTGAACTCAGCCCTTGATCTGGGCAGTGGTGGTGGCTGCTCTTGGCAGAGCTGTTTTTTCAGTCCTCAGGGTTTGTCTCCATCTGTGATACTGTCAACATCTCATGAACTCATCACAGCTCAACCTGACCCCCCTTCATTGTCACCTGAGTTGTCTCCTGCTCAGTGGGTTTCTGGTTCTTGTTTCCCACTGAGAAGCTTTAGAGCAGGAGTTCATTTTCCCTGTGCAGCAATTTACTGTTTATGCTTTTGGACTTAACCTGTTTGTGTTACCCAGTTCTGTCTGTCTCGGCCAGGTGTGTTCTGTCCTGATAAGATTTCTTTCATTACCACAGTCCCATCCTTTCAGGGTCTTCAGTGGCATCTAATGCTGACCCTAAAGGTACTCTGATGGTATAAACTGCCTGTACCTCAGTGTCCTTGCTCTGGAATTGACACAGATCAGAGGACATTTAGCCCCAGATTTCACAATATCTGGTCCTAAGTTTTCCTTTCCTGCTTTCTCCCAGGAGCATCAGCTTCCCCCCCACCCCCTTGTGAATTATTTTGTCATCTATCAAAAGTCAGTTGGTGTGAGGGGCCTGTTTTTCTGATTTCTCAAAAAACCAAATGTGAAAAACATTGCCCACTGCTTTCTTGAGATTCATGCAAGATTAAAGAAGTCCTGTTTTGTGACTTCAGATGAGCTGTTTGCTGAGAGCTGCAGTAGTGACAGTTGTGTTTCCTTTGCAGTTCTGGAGAGCTGGCTGGATTACACCGGAGAGCTGGAACCCCCCGAACCCCTGGCTCGACTGCCCCAGCTCAAACACTGCATAAAGCAGCTGATCACGGACCTGGGCAAGGTGCAGCAGATCGCCCTGTGCTGCTCCACGTGAGGCTGGCGGGGGCACTGCCACAGGGCACCACGCTGGGCAGCTCTGCAGCACATCGGCCTGCTGGCTGCACGGGCTGCAGGTTGACTTCAGGGACTGGGGAAGAAGTGTTGTTCAGAGAACAGCAGGAAGGTTATTTGGGGTTTCTTGGGCAATCACAGCGCTTTGGAAGAGGCCGTGCCCTCGTCTCTGGAGGTTGGATGTCGGTTGATAAATTACACTTCAATTTTCACTCCTTAAAAGTTGCTCACTGAAACGGTCGACACGTTCATCGTTCAATTGACTGAAAATTGTGCCACTGAAGAACAGAGTTCCAAGAGCCAAAAATGTTTGGTTGACAGAGGTTGTAAATAACTTTGCATAGTTTAAGTGACTCGTGTCATGTTTTATTCCTTCTGGTTTATGCATACTAGCACTCAGTATTTAATCATTAGGAAATGTTATAACAGTTTCAGACTTAGTAAGTATGAATGTCCAGCTCTTAAGTATAAAGTGTTATGTGGAGGTTTGCAAGTAACGGTGGTCTGACCCCCACTTCTGTTACAGGAAATAATGTAGCAGGAGGTCACAGGTGGATTGCACTTATTTTCAGAATAAATGATTGTTTTCCATGTTTATGCTGTCACTGTCACATGACTCGGTACTGGGGAAGCCCATGAACGTGGTGTTTATGTGCATTCTCGAGCTCTTTGGTCGGGCCATCCTGTGCCTCCTGCAGCAGCACGGAATGTGCTGGGAGAGGCTGGAGCCACGCTCCCAGTTTCCTCTGCAGCGTGGGCTGTCATGGATGTGATGTATTTTCTACCCATTTGTTAATAATTGCCATTCCACTTATATTTGGAAATGTAGACTTTTTTGCAATACTCTGGACGTGTTTGTTGTAAAGACTCGCTATGAATGTGTGGTTTGGGGAATCAGTTTATTTTATATTGGTGTAAATAAAAGCCTCGAGATCTATGCATGAGGTGCTGTCCTCGCAGACAGCGAGTGGGTTATTACCTTAGATGGTCTGTGTTCACCAACTCCCTTTTTATACCTTAAGTTTTAATCTTCTGGTTTGTACTTTGTGAGAGCAAGGTGACAATGCTGCTGATGTTCAGTCATGTTATATACAGAGTCTTTGGAAAGTCGTGAGTATTTGAGAAGTTCAGAGTCTTTCAGCTGCAGATCACCGCTCCGGAAAGAACGGCTGTGACTTGAGTTTTCCTTCCCAGACGTTGCTGAGTTCAGTTTCCTGTGGAACGTTGTAAACTGGTTTTGCAGTGAGAGGGTGTCCTTAAAAAGCTGGATTTGTTACCTTGATTTTATTGTGTGCAATGGTACTACCGAAGGGTAACGTTCAAGCACGGTTTCAACAGAAAGGCCCATACCTGTACAAATCATTAATTTGGGATATAGGTCTGAAATGTGTGTATTCTGCAAAGAATAATGTAAACTTGAAATATCCAATATTGTTGTAGGAGTTACGGTATCTACACAGTTAATGTTTTATTTCCTTCAGAAAACAGAATAATTAGGCTGCTCTAGGTAGTAACTAAGGCTTTTGTGCCAAGATTCAGTTCAGGGAATAATTTGTCTCAGTTTTATAGTACTAGTTGGTATATAGCGAATACAACATATGTACAGCAGAAAATTAAACTTACTCTTCTGTAGCACAGTTGGAATAAAGCTTACATGGTATTTAAGGATCACTTGGCTCTCTGAGGATGAGACCAGTGCTTACACCTTGGCTCGTTCCTGTCAGGCCACCCGAGTTCAGTGCAGCTCTGGAGCAGCTTGCAGTGACCGGACGGGCAGAGCAGCGGCCGAGCAGCCCCCAGCCAGGAGGAAAGGGCTGAGGTGGGGTGGAGCAGAGTGTGCTCCCTGGGTGCCCCCTGGGTGCCAGCTGTGCTCAGCACTCCCGCCACGCGTCCCTTGCAGGCCGTGGCTCAGCTGAGCTCCCCGGCCCTGGCAGGCCTCGTGCTCCAGAGGGGAACTTCTCAAGCAATGGCTTCTGTGTGCTCACTATCTGTTTTTACTTGTCAGTTAATTTTTGCTCAGGGCAGTACTGGAGGGTTGGAGGAAAAGGTGGTTCCCATGGGTAGATCACGTGGCAGATCCTGAAGACTCATTTCCCATCAGTAGTGCTGGGGAAGCCCTTACAGGTAAAGACTGAAAATATTTATTTAAAATAGAGTAGCACTTCTCCTGATCAGGAAAGATTCTTCATTGTGCTCTGCCTGGATTTGTTTCTGTCCCTGTTTTTGCAAGTTTCCACATTGTTACTCTTAGCCTGAACCGGCTGTTCGGGCTGGCAGGTCACTTTTTTGTTTCTTTAAATCACTGGTAGGTGGATGCAACGTGGAGCCTTGATGAACTGAGCAAACATTGCACTGTGGGTACATATGCGTGTTTGTCTTTGTTGATGCACTATTAGAACCGAGGGGCTGTACATAGAATTTTGCTTTGGAGCAATATTTGCAAAACTTGAAAACTTCTGTATCTTGGTGTTTGGAATAAATAAATAGGTTTTTGTTGGATAAGTCTTAGTGAAGTCTTTGTTTCAATTAATTATAGCTCAATAAAATAACTTTGGACTTTTTTGCTTCACGTCACAATGAAATGCAGGTGGTGTAGTTTGTCAGGTTATGTATTGGGTTTTGTTCAGTATTGTTTGATGAGGAGCTTGTACATTTTATTCCCAAATCCTAATATATGTAATAGATTAGTACCTGCTACGTGTGATCTGCCCCTCATCCTGGTCCCATTGGGATGAGCAGCCTGGTGGGGGGCAGAGGCAGTGCAGGACTGGTGATGGGCTGGAGGAAGGAGCTCGATGCGTTTGAACAATCCACACAGAGAAAACACGTGGGCATGGGAAGGGGAGGAAGGTGGTGAGTGCTGGAGGAGCAGTGAACCTGGCACAGGGTGCCTGAGGGCAGGGGAGGCATTGATGTGCCTTCAGGTGCATTTCTGGTTCCATCTCTTTCCCCAGTAGGAGAACAAGTGTATTCCCTGGTCCTAACAAACTTCCCTTTCTTTCTGCAAAAAAAGCCACCATTCTTGTAGAACTGGATTTTCATGCTGGAGGGCACATCCCTGCTGGAGCCTGGTTTGTGAGCCACTGATGGCAGCCCCTGATGTGGCTCGTGCAGGTCTTTGCTCATCACTTCCGTGTCAAAGTTGGGTTTGAGGTTGTGGTCCGAATTTGGCGTAATTTGGGGGGGTGTGTGCCATGGGTCACCGTGTTTTGGGGAAGGTGTGCCTGGGATTTATTTACCTGCCCGGTGTGAAGGCTCCTGCAGATGCCTCTCCCAGCTGCTCAGTCAGCTGTCACCTGCCTGTGGGAACAGTCACCTTGAGGCTGCTCAGCTGAGGAAATCAGACACAGCCCTCTCACTGTTGGCAGTGTTAGCTGGCCAGGACAGGATCTGTGACTGCAGGACCTGGTGCTGGTGGGTGTGCAGCCTCTGGATGGTGCTGTGGTGGCAGAGCAGCATCTGCACTGGCCCTGGTGCCCCGTCCCGCTGCAGGAGTGCTCGTGCCTGGTTCTGCCACTGCTTCCTAGCGTTGGTCATGAGCACTGCAGGCCACTGCAGGGTTCAGCAAAGTGTCATATCCTTGCGCTTAGTCCTTCAGGGTGCACAGCAGCTCTTGTGAGGTGGAGGAACTCGGTACAGCTCTTGGTCTGGGCAAAACCTGCCACAGGTACCCAGAACAAGGTCCTGTTGGAGCAGGCACAGGAACAGTACACACCAATTTTTTCCTGGTAGAACACAGATGCAGACAGAAAAACTGAGACAAACCAGCCAAACTGGGATTCATCCTGTCCTGCTGCAGCTGTTGCTGCTGGTGATAGTCTGTGCCCTCAGGGTGTTTGGACAGGAGGGGCTGATGGGGCCATGGATCCTTGGAATGCTCCACGCCTGGGGCTCTGTTTCCCATCTGGGAGGAGGGGAATGTGGGCTGCACTGGGCTCAGGAGAAGGAGCTGTGTGTACCTCCTGGGCTTCCAGACTGGTGGCTTTGAGTCCTAGAGCTTGAGTACAGACATGGGCAAAGGTCCTGCTCCTGAAGGGGTGGTTTCTGTGCCCTCTTGTGTCTGCTGGGGTGAGGGTTGGCTGGATGCTGCCCTGGGTCTGGGCTGCAGGCACAGCTGTGCCCTTTGCACAGAGGCTCAGAGCTGATGGAGACACTGCCTGCTTTGCAGCTCCTTAATCCCTTCAGAAGCCCCAGCAAATGCTCCAGGGAAAGATGCTGAGAGGTTGGTTTGAGGGGGGTGAAGGGCAGAGCGCAGTCTTGTCTGGCTGGGTCGCACATCTGGGTATCAGTAGGTGTCACTTCAGAGGGGGCTGGTGACAGGGCTCTGGGGGAGGTTGTGCTGCCCACAGTGTGGCTCATGTGGCCAAAGTGGCCACAGCTCACAATCCCCTCGTGCCCGAGACACTGGGGAGAAGCTGGGAAGCTCCTCTCTCCCTGTGAGCGTCCTGGGCTCTCAGAACACCTCTGGGCAGGACCTGGCCCTGGGGCAGCTGTGGCTCCTCCCCTGCCCTGGCGCTGGTGGGTCTGGTCAGGGCTTGTTGAGTCCCTGGAGAGCCCTTGATGTCCCTGCCCGGGTCAGGAGCCCCGTGGCCCCCCCTCTTCTGCCCTCCCTGGCTGGGTGAGAGCTGCTGTTGTGGGAGCTGCTGGACCCTCTCTGTGCTTCTGGCACCTGCCAAAACCTGCCTTGTGCCCAGGGGGTTCAAAGGCTGCCGTGTTGAGCCCTGGGAGGCAAGGACTGGGGCTGGGCCATTGCCCAGCATGAGTGGCATGTGCCCAGAACCGGGAGCTCTCAGGACAGGGAAGGTGGAGGTCTCAGAGGCTGCTGGTGGTGGGGCAGGATTGGAACAGCCTTTCCAACCACATCTGTCCCACAGCACCTGGCTCCAGGTTAAAAACAACAGGAGCAGCAGCCTCTCGATTGTGGCAGTAGAACCATCCTTATGTGTAAATGCATCCAACAACCCTGGGTGCACGGTGGAGGAAGGAGACCAAGGCCCACCTCAGTTCACACAACATGGATCAATGGCAAAAGGATGAAAAAACTCTTGAGTTGCCTCAGGGGCCCCACGGGTGACAGCAGGGGCAAGGCCAAGGCTGAGGGACAAACCCAGCTTCTGTGCTGTGCTGAAGCCACCTGGGCTGAGGGTCGGGGCTGAGTGGGGCTGTAAAGCTCGAGGCAGAGAAGGAAATGAGAAAGTGATGGTGGGTTACAAGAGTGAGCTCATCAGACAGGAACAGGAGGAGGGGGGTCCTGCTGCACTGGCCGTGGGTGCAGAGGGGAAGGAAGAGCGAGGGGGTGGCTGAGCAGTGAACCCTGTGGTCACAGAGGAACTCCTGCCTTGCTGATAAGGGCCTGGTGAAAGCAGAGGCTCAGAGTGTGGCTGCTCTGAGGTGTTTCTGCTGCTACCCAGGCCCCTCAGCCCAGTGGGCAGCTGAGATCAGGGTTGTACACGAGGGTTTGCATTCTGCTCTTCTAAATAATCTACTCCTGCCACAGACCTATTTCTTCCTTTCATTCCTAGAACAGCAGTTGTGGCGCTAAATTACACTTCTCAACCTCTTAGATTCATGAATTTGCCCAAAGAGAGGGCCCGCCCTGACCTGTGGCTGCTCACCCCGGCTGGGGGCAGGAGCAAAGGCCCCAGGCTGTGGTGGTGAAACCACCCCAGGGGTAGATCACAAAGTGTTCACCAACTCTCAGCTGTGAAGGAGATGCCTTTTAATTGAGACATTACAGATGGTTATTGCTGCATGTCCAGCAGGATCCTGTTTTATGGAACTTAAAATCCATCTGTTAAAAGGTTTAAAAATCAGCTGCTTTGAGCAGAGTCAGAGGCTGCTGGTCCCAGCAAGCAGATCACCGAGTTATGTGGGGTGAGAGCATGAGGGTCTGTGGCTGCTGCTGCTGCTCACAGGCCCTTCCTACACAGGCACCCACACCCAAAAACATTTGAGCATGAACTTGAGGGGTCTGATGGGGTTGGGCTGCTCCTCCACCCGGGCCAGGATTCAGCTTGGGCATTTACATCCCCTCTCTGCAGATCCCAGGAGCATCCTGTGGCAGCCTGTGGGGCAGGCAGGGCTCCTTCTCTGTGCAGCCCCTGCCTCCTCCTCCTCCTCCTCCCATGGGCTCTGGGTGCTCAAACATCCCCTTCCAAAGTGCCCGGCCTGGGGCAGGGTGGGCCCTCGGGCAGCCCCTTCCTCCAGTGCTGGTGCCTGGCCCCACCTTGGTCGTGGCTGTCTGGGGCCCCCCAGCTCCCCAGCACCGAGGGGCTGCTGACTGGGGCTGAAAGCAAGTGAAGGCTGAGCTGCGGCATGGGTGTCCAGCATAAGCTGTGGCCAGCTGGGGCCTGTCCTCAGCTCTGCTTTGCCCCTTTCCCTGCGAGGTCTGGCTCAGGGTTGTCGGTCTCCGAGAGGAGCAGGTAGGAGCTGATGGCTTCCCGCAGGCCCAGGCTGAAGGGAGAGTCCTCCTGGGGGGATGCGGTCTCCGAGAGCAGGAGGGAGCTGCTCGGGGCAGATGGGGCGGTCAGCAGGCACCCCACCCCGAGCTCCCGGGGCTGGCAGGGCCGTGGGGAGCCCCAGCTCCTGCCCTGCGCTCCTCACCTGTCGATCTCGTCCCAGTGCAGCGATGGGTTCTTGACAAGGGGCGGTGTTGGAGCCGGGGCCGCCCTCATCCCGTCCGTGGAGCAGGGCTGGCTGAGGGGGCAGCACAGCCCCTCGCTGAACTCTGGGCACGGAGGCATCAGCATCAGCAACCCCCAACCCCGGGGGCTCCTGAGCTGGGGGGGGAGCGGCTGCCACCTTTTCCCCCTCGCCCCTTCAGGGCCCAGGGCATCCCCCCCAGGGTGCGGGGGGCTGGTGGGGCGTTACCAGAGTAGTGATCCACCAAGCTGTGCAGGCTGGGGAAGGTGAGCCCGGGGGAGATGTAGATCCAGCCGTTCTCCAGCCGGTGGATGCGGTAGTGAGTCACCGAGGCGCAGGCAGCGCGTTCCCCGCGGCGCAGCGACAGAGAATAGCAGCCTGCGGGCCAAGGACTCGCGGCTGGGCTGCCCGGGGCACCCACCCCTCCCACTCCTGCGGGGGCTCTGCCGTCACACAAGCGGTGCCGCCCTTCCCCTCATGGAGCTCTGCAGCCCCCTGCCAGCCCCGTGCCACGAGGACCTCCAAACCAACCCGGGGGAGGGGGGAGGGCTGGGACTTCAGCTGTCCTCGGTGCCTCAGCCATCTGCACCACAGCACCCGCAGGGTCTCCCCACAGGGTCCCCTCAGGTGTGGTGGGGCCCCGTTTCATTTTGTGGGCTGAGCTTTATCACTTCCCTGCGTAACCCAAAGCTGTAGGAAGCTGGTGGTGGTTTGTTCTTTTGAGGCCCCGTGGCAGGGGCTCAGCACAAAGCGGGAGAGCAGCAACAGCGAGGAGCGGCCCCGCGGGGAGGGGCATTGCCAGCAGGTGTGAGCAGGGGTTCCCTCTCCCTGCTCCTTGGCAGCCCGCGGGGGAGGCCTGGGAGGGTACAGGAGCCGGCCCGAGGGCTCTCACCTCGCCTGGTCTGGCTCTCCCGGATCAGGAAGGACCCGCTGTGGTTGCCCGGACGGAGCAGGAGCTCCTCCGCCTTCTGCCGACTGACGCCCTCGTACAGCCACCTGTGCGGGCAGGCGCGCTGGCAGAGCCTCCCCCAGGGCCGGGCGGGACCCCCAGGGCCCGGTGGGACCCCCAGGGCTCAGCCCGCCCCGCCGGGGCAGGGGGACAGCCCGGGGGGACACCGCAGCACATGTCCCAGGGACACTGCAGCACACTGGGCCACCTCCCCAGCCTCAGCCCTGCTCCACGGCCCCGGGGCAGACACGGGGCGGGAGGTCCTGGCGCCGTGGCCGGGGTTCGACCTTGGCTCTGCGGTGGGGCTGAGTCCCCGGGACCTTCCCTGGGACAGACCCTTCCCAGCATTTACCCGTGCCTGATCTTGGCCACGCAGCTGCTGGGGACGTGGCACTCCTTGCCAGACACCTCGGACACCACCAGCCACCAGTCCCCGTCCCTGTGGGGAAGAGGGATGACCCTCCTGTGGGCTGAGGCTGCAGGCTGCGGGGAGACCCGCAGGGTGGGTGCCACCAGCGTGGCCCCACGGGCTGGACGCTGGTCAGTCGTCACTTGGTGCGGGGACTTACTCGGAGAGGATGCGGAGCCGCTCCCCCATCCTCAGGACAGCGGCCACCCCCGCGCCGGAGGGGAAGTCACAAAGGGCCAGGGCCTGGAAAGCGCTGGGGGCTGCAGGGAGGGTGAGAGGGCTCAGTTTCCCCGGCTGGGGCGGGAGGACCCGGCACGAGGTGGGGCTTGGCCCAGTAGCTGCTGGGCACTCACCTGCCTGAGCCGGCAGCGGGGGCTGCGTGGTGTCAGCAGATGCCGATGGGATGCTTAGTGGCTTCTCCCGGCCGGGCAGATTCCCCATCCCTGGGGTTCAGCCCCTGGGCTGCTCCGTCCGGGAGGGATCGAGGGCTCAGGCTCATGGGTCAGCATCCCCCTCCCGTGTCCTGGGCAGGGCATTTCCGTGGGGTGACGCCAGCACGGTCCAGGGCAGGGCTTTGGGCTGGCAGCTCCCAGGGGAGCCCTTCGAGGAAACCACCCTCCCACCACCACCACAGATGGGATGGGATATCTGGGGACTGCCCAGGACAGGGCATCTGCAGCCTCATGGGGGACAGTCCCCGGCCAGGCTCACTCTCTGCATGCTGCCATCTCATCCCAGCCCTGTCCCCCAGGGGCTGGGGCACCTATCCCAATGCCCCAAGCTGCTGGTCCCCAGGGGGATTCAGGGAAAACACCCCTTGACCACGGAGAGGTGCAGTTGGAGCTGTGTGTGACCCAGATACACCCCAGGCTGAGCTCCCCTCCTTCCCTGCCCTGACTCTGTTCCTGCCCTAGCAAGAGGTGAACTCCACCTACCTGCCTTCCACTGCTGTTGCCATTATTTGGGTGCCGTCAGACCCGAGCAGCTCTGCCCTCCCTGCATGGTGGAGCCTCGGGACACCAGGGTGCACGGGGACCCTCTGGCACAGTGGGTAACAATCGCTGCCCCTGCCAGAGCCCTTGGTTCCCCCTCAGCCCGCTCCAGGGCTGGGTGTGGGGTCCCAGCTGGGGCTGCTCCCGGCGGTGCTGCCGTGAGGGCTCTGAGGTGCTGGGGCTGCGGTTGCTGCTTCCTGTGACGTGCACGCACTAGAGCGGGTTTCTCCTTTTCACTCAGTCACAGGTCGCTCAACTGAGCTCCTTGGGGCCCTCGGTATGGGCAGCAGGCCCAGGAAAATCCATGTGGGCACTCAAGGCGCTGGGATTTGTGGGTGAGCAAGGTGGAGGGATGGGCAGCACATGAGAGGGGCAGCACATGAGAGCGGCAGCAGAGCTGACACAGGAATTGTAGGCTGAGGCTGGAAATGCTCCATTCCCAGGGTGGTCTTAGTGAAGGGGGGGATGTCCCAGGGTGCCTCCTCACTTGCAGCAGCACCAGGGCCATGTCCTGCCCTCAGTGGGTGGGTGGTGCTGGATGTGCTGGGTGGGGGGGGATGGTTGGGATGTTCAGGGGCATCCCAACCTAACCTAACCCTAACCCTTGTCGGACAGCACTGCCCCAGAGCCAGCACTGCCCTACAACCAGCACTGCCCACTGTGCCCCCCCCGGCTGGGTTATGGGTGACAGCCCCACCTCTGCCCCATCCCCACTCTCAGCCCATCCAGGCCCAGCAGCTGCTGCTGGTGTGGGACCATTCACTGCCCAATTCATTGCCCAGACTGTGGGTGTGGACCATTCACCTCTCAAAGCACACACTGGTGGCTCAGCCAGCACCACCTCTGCTGCCCCCAGGCCCAACTCCCGCTGTCAGGACCCTCTGATGCACACAAACATCCACCCCCCCCCAATCCTGCCCTGAGGAAGGTCCTTGGGATTTGTTCTCAGCAGCTCCTGAGCTCATGGCCCAGCTGTGCAGTGTGGACAGTGTGTCCCCACCATTTCCTGCCCTGTCCCCGCTGTGGGAACAGATACTCGGCAGCCTCCTGCCACAGCTGCACCTCCTGCTGCTGCCTCTGCTGAAACCTCAGAGTTTCTGGTCAGCTGTAACTGCCTTGACAGTGTGAAATGCACTCGGGTTCAACAGGGCTTCTGGCCCCTGTGCTGCTGTTGGGGTTCAGGACCCTGCTCAGGCCTGCCCTGAGCTCGGGCAGGGCTGTTTTGCAGGGGGTTGATTATGCTTGGGAGAAGATTCCATAGCTCTTGGACTGGTGGTGCAGCACTACTGGGGTCCTCTGGGATGTGGGGGACAACCCTCGGTGAGCCATGACCTGCTCCCCCCCACCTCCAAACCCTGCTCTGGGCCCAGGGCTGGAAAATAAAATGGGACCCCAAGTTCCCATCCCCAGCTTGAAGTGGAAAAAGTGGCTTTCTGGTAGCACACAGATTTCTGGGTCAGCACAGCCCCCCCAGCACCTGAGGCCCTGCAGCCCCAAGGCAGAAACCTCAACACGTGGCTGCAAGTCACACTTTTCCAGCAGTGACCCAGAGCTGAGCTCAGCCAGACTCACTGCTGGAGGAGACACCAATACAGAAATTTGGCATCTCGGGCTGGACACGCCACTGAATGAACTTGCCCCAAGGTTTTAAGCAATTGGGAATTCAGTCCTAAGGGAATGGGAGCATGGGAAAGTGCTGGCTCCCTCTGCCTGCCCTTCCCTGGCTCAGCTCCCTCCGCTGGGGCATCCCAGCTCCCAACAGCAGAAAGAGATCAGGGAAACACTCTACCATTTTACAGGGACTTACTCCAACCTCCCTGCTGCCCCTCAAGGGGAGGGAATGCACATCCATGCCCTGCAGCCAGTGGCATCCAGCTCACACCCCAGCAGCCAGGTGGGTTCAGGACGCCAGCCCAGGGAAGGCTGTCCTGAGCTCAAGCTCTTTGCCTGGATTTGATGTTGTTCATGCTGCCCAGGAAACAACACTGCCCTTTACTAAACTCATTTCTCACCTTGTATTTTGCTTTGATTTTTTGCCTTTTTAGCAGGAAAAGCACTTGCTTATGTAAAACAAAGTTTACTTTTCCCAGTTATCCTTGGGTAATAAAATCTATGGCAACCATCACTAGAGATCTTGCCTTGCTTCTTCCTGTGAACCACCATGGCAACAGCACTCCCTGCTAAATCACTCCTCTTCCAAATTGCTAAAATCTCACCTCTGTATTAAACTGGGCTCCTGGTGCAGGAGCAACCTGGAGCTTGGTGCTCTCCTGCTCCACATCTTCAGGAACAGCACTCTCTGAGCTAGCACCTGTCCCTGCTGCAGGATCATTTCCTCTGACTCATTTCCCTGTCATTTAAACATTGGGTTTCCTTTCTTTGGGGCTGTATTTCCATACAGGAACTGGAGACAGGACAGTTCCTGGGTGCAGCCCGCTGGCATTAGATTCCAGTGCTGCACCTACACCGGCTCCTCTCCTGCACATGGTGCCTCACCCAGAGGTGCTGAACTCCCACTGTGCTGGGGGCCAGGTCTCTTTGGTCTCCTGTCTCAGATTCAAATGTCTGTTTGTGCTCATCCCTTTGTACTGCCACTACTCCTTCATTGCTACAATTGTCCAGCGTTTCCCATTTCTCAGCTGTCACTCAGTGTGCACTTCAGAAGAACACTTTGTCTCATTCCTGCAATGACCTCCCCCAAATGCCACAGACTGTCCAGGCAGGATCAGGATCCCAGCCCACAGCACGACAGCAAGACTGGGACTAACCTGTGCCCAGCACTGTAACCCTGTTCCAGCCCTGTGGATGGATGTAATCCATCTCCATGGATTACAGTGACACCTGACAGCGGGAGCAGAAGCTGGGTCTGGAAAGCAGCAGGGGAGGAATGAGCTGTGTTACACGCCAGGCTGCTGCCCATCCCCTCCCTGTGCCTGGCTGTGGGGCAGATGTGCCAACAGCCATCCCACTGCCACCCAAACTGCCCTCTGCAATGGCAGTGGCCTTGTCACAGGTCTGAGGTTAACTCTGTGTCACACTGGTGGAACGTGCAGAGAGCACTGCCCCAGGGAGGGCAGGTGGCTCCCAGCACTGCCTGTGGGGAGGTGGTTCTTGCCTGTGTAGCAGCAAACATGCTGTTTTTTCTCCATTCTGGACGTTTCTAGGTGCCTTTTGCTAGAGGCCAGTTCTCTCCAGCACCCCTGGACAGCCTCTGCCAGGGGCCACAGAGCCACCAAACACATTGTCCTAGTGCAGAGGTGCCCAGTCCTGTCCCTGCCATGAGGAAGAGTTTGCCACTTGCTGCAGGAGACACCCAGACTGACAAACCCAGAGGGGTGCAGGTTGCCAAGAGAAACACGAGGAGCACACGGGATAACAATGAAACTCAGTTAGTTATAGCTTTATTCAATAACTGGTACAAAGTTCCCTTCAGGCAGAGCCTCCCCGTCCCATTCCCTACCTGAAATGGAGCAGAACGTGAGTGTGACCCTGGGAGGAACTGGCTCCCAGAGGGTCAGGGCTGCTGAGCAGTGAGGAAAGGATGTTTTGCTCATCCATCAAGACCTGCAGCACCCTGACCACTCATCCCTTTTCTTCCATTAACACCAGACCCTGGCAAGCAGCAGGCATCTGCTGTCCACCCTCCGTGACCCGGCCAGGTGTAAAAAGGCAGCAAAATTGTGAGTCCCACAAAGACAGTAACTAGTACCTGCTCACCTTTCTGACCTGACTCACAGGAATGTGTCAGTGCTGGTTGTCACATTCCTGCCCTCAGCTAACTGCACCCTGTGCAGACCCTGCCTGGGCAGCAGCAGTGGGAGGCAGAGCTGGCAGTGCAGGAGATTCCGGGATCTCCACCTGGCAAGAGGCCCTGCTTCCTATTTCACAACCTGCTCAAGGTAAAGATTCACCTGTGCCAGGGTAGAACAGTGACCACGTGTCACTGCATCCTGCCCTTCTGCCAGGTCAGCAGAGGGTTGTGGAGATGGTCAGGGAGCCAGGGCTGCTGGAGTTTAATCCCTTGTACTTGGTTAATAGTGCACCTTGTTAGTGGAATTTTACAGGTAAATTGCTTTGCTCTTTCAGGAGGCTCAGGTAAGAAATCACTCTGCTCCTTCTTAACACACACAGAGATGAGATCAAGACAGTATTCCTGACCATTTGTTTTTCTCATGGCTGCCTGGCATGTGGGAACACACAGACCTTCCAGTGGGCTCTCTGCACCCCAGGCACAGCTCCACACAGAGCCCTGCCTGCTCCGACACCTGGCGAGCCACACCCTCGTGGTCTTGCTTTCCCACGTCCCACTGATGCCATACCAACTGCACCACAAGGGTCCTTTAGCAGAAGCACAACTAGAAAGCAATTCTAAACCTCACAAAGCCACAGAAATTATATTTAAATGAAGAGGGGAGACAACGGCTGTCATCTGGATTGATACACAGCACAGACAGGAGATGGCATCAGCATGTACAGTAACGGGACGTACTAAGACTGCGAAATGTCGACGAGTTTTAAAGAGGCTCTGATGCCAAGGGAATACAGAAAGGATCAAAGTAATGCCAAGTACAGACTACCGAGGTGGTTGCTCGGATGGGCATGCACAGGTTAGAGAGAACAGTTAATGCCATGTTGGACGAAATGCTAGATTCTGAGTGGGTTCAGTGGGGCAAGTGGAGCTGTCTAAATCCAGAAGAGGGGCTCCTGCCTAACAGGATACTTCCATGGTTTGAGGTGCAGCCTGGAGGTCAATTCCATCTGGGGTCCCAGCACTTCCTTCCCCGTGGGTGCTGGCATGAGAGCGGCTGCGGCTGCTCTCGCCGGAGCCCACGCTGGACGAGGAGTGGCTGCGGGAGCGCATCAGCCGGGTCATGCTGGCAGCTGGCACTGCAAGAGAGAGCACAGGCACTCAGACCACGGGCAGCCCCTGGAGCCAGGGCCACAGGCACTGGGGGGTGTCACCGGGTAAGCACAGAAAGAGCTGTACCCTTCGTGAGGAAGAAAACTCACTCTTCACCGCCAAAATTAAGTCTTTGCACGTCTAAA